CATACATACATACATACATACATACATACATACATACATACTAACATACATAACATACATTACATACATAACATACATTACATACATAACATACATTACATACATTACATACATTACATACATTACATACATTACATACATTACATACATTACATACATTACATACATTACATACATTACATACATTACATACATTACATACATTACATACATTACATACATTACATACATTACATACATTACACTACATTACATACATTACATACATTACATACATTACATACATTACATACATTACACTACATTACACTACATTACATTACATTACATTCATACATTACATACATTACATACATTACATACATTACATACATTACATACATTACATACATACATTACATACATACATTACATACATACATTACATACATACATTACATACATACATTACATACATACATTACATACATACATTACATACATACATTACATACATACATTACATACATACATACATACATCCATCCATCCATCCATCCATACATACATACATACATTACATACATACATACATACATACATACATACATACATACATTAATTACATTAGATTACATTACATTACATTACATACATACATACATTATATATATATATGTTGTGGGAGGCTTTAACAGACCACTATTTATGCTGCAGTGTGCCCAGCAGCATCATGGTGACTTCGGGCAGTGAGGCTCTCACAGTTCATCATGTTTTCCCTTCTTTGACACTTCAGAATCGCTGTTTTGCTGACAAAATAGCCATAAATCAGGGTAGATAATGATAATTATAATATGTTACCAACCTGAAAGAAGGCGAATTTCTTTCGCCTTATGCTCGTCAGCACCCTGCCAGATTCGGCCAAGTGAAAGCTGATAGAAAGTGAAAAGACAAGAAAGTCGAAGGAATGGTTACCGCAAGGTTACCGCAATTCTACCATCTTTGCAAATGGGCCACCACAGACTCCTCCTTGGGCAATGGACAGCTCTGAGTATGTCCAAGCCCCCAAATCTGGCAAGGCAAACTTCCGATCGGGAAAAAAACCATGGCACCCCAAAATTCCTTCAACATTTGTTGTTTATGAAGTGTTCTTGGGTCCCACCTGATGCTGGACACTTACCCGGAAACCAGCCAGATGGCATACAGTGACTTATCTACTCAATGACCTGTTTTAGGACTTTTGAAGGGCTGAGGCTGATTTAGACCCTTGACTCCCTCCCCAGATCATCTGCGAATAATATCAACGTCTCGTGTTAATGGATGGATGAATGAAAAAAGAAATGAATAAATGCAAAGATCATAGATGAAGGAAAAACATATACTGTATGTATAGGCAAATAAACGGATATGCACAAATAGATGTTTGATAAATCATTGACAATGGTATACAATAGTAATATCCGATTTATCCAATAACAAATCAAAATCTTCTAGTTGGACATCCGATCCCTCAGCACTTCCAGCCTCGCCATCCAGTTGTTGAGCAGCGGCATCTCAGTGTGCCGTTGCTGTCATGATCATCACTATAAATCCACTATAAAACAATAGTAATCAATGGTGATTTATAGTATATGATGATCATCACTATAGATTTTATAAATCGTCTATAAATACTATAAATAGTGATTCTTACATAGTTCCATGGTACTAAATAGTCGTCAAATCCACTGCTTGTGATTCTTTGTCGTCGAAATCACTATAAACCATTCCACAATCCAAATTATTCAAGCCCGTTGAATGGCTCCATGCTCGGGAGATAAGTTTAGGCCTAGGTGGTAGATGATTTTGATCCAAAAAAAAACTTGATGGATAGCATCCCTAGTGTCTTTTCCAGACACCTGATGAAACTGCTAATTTGAAGCAACAAGAAAAAAAAACGCGGCATTAGGTTCACCGCATCATCCACATCAAAACCACCAGGCTCCGCACTCAACAAGTGTGACGCCTGCGCTTTGCCGCGCTTTCCGGCATAGAGTTCCGCGTCCTCCAACCAGTTCGGGGGTGCCATGGGGAAAAAACACTGATCAAATGGGGCGGTCATCCAATCACTAGGGATGGCTTCTATTCGACAGATCGATAGATAAGAAACATGGATGAACGTAAGAAACATACGATAAAATACGATGAGATCAGATAAGACAAGATAAGGGATGACAAAAAGATAAGAATAGATTGTAATTGTTTACAAAGAAACTAAAAGATACAGAAAGATAAAATAAGCTATGAAAAGATAAGATAAGAGTAGAGTAGGGTAGGCTACATTGATTAGATTCGATTAGATTAGAGTGGAAGAGGATATATTGCATACAACAAGATTAGATATTAGATCAGATTGAGATTGAGAAAGGTTTGTATATATATATACATATGATTTCTGCGCTCACAAACTACAAGAAAAGCTTTCGCCACAGCGAAGCGGCTTTCAGCATGGTGAAAAACCTTGCAAAGTAGCGTGACATCTTGTGTTTATGCAATTCGTTCTGAACGTTATTGCAATCCGCCCACCTCATATGTACCACAACCAAAGAAAAAGATGAACAACAATTGACCTCAAAAACACCAGTGCGGTTTTGCCTGCTAGCATATACATATTGTATTATATACACATAATGGTTACTCATAATATCATGTAATTATATATACACACTACATATTGTATACACATGCAAGACCCCTATTCACTTGGGCATGACCATCAACATTCAAACTGGAAAATCCATCCCTGTTTCGAACACGGTACATGTTTCGGGTGTTTTTGGTGGGAATTTGAGTGTGCTGGTAACTTGAGGCATAGGCCACACAAGCGATGATGGAATGGATGCGAAGAGATAATTGGGATCGCAAAATTGGGGACCCAACAAAACTTCCTGTTTTCAGCTTGTTCAATTACAAGACCGAGAACTTATGTCGGATAAATCCTCCGAAAAAAGGGTGAGTCCGGGTGAGTCCTTCAGCCACAGGCCCAGCACCCCCGACTTGCTCCACTCCAGCATCTCCTGGAAGTAAAGGAACGCAAAGGATGGCTACTTTAGAACCAACAACTGTGGAAACAACCCGAACAAAGATATCACCCATGAACATTATTGGGCAAAAAAACATGATTTGTACGCTATCAAGTTGGAGGGAAACCTACCATTTTGGGGTCCCAGTCTTGGGAAACAGCCATGGTGCAGTTTGTCAATAAGGTAACACTAAATCCACTGGTTCATTGTCATTTTCCCTACTAGAGTAGCCACGTGGGGTATACCGGTATACCCCATTTTCAGACATACCCAAACATATACTGGTTGGCTCTATGAATCATCACGAGTATTCCCATTCATATCCCATAAGTTTGCGGGTTGAACCTCCATTCATCACGATTAGCCTGGGCCGAAGTCAAGGCCACCTGCCCCATGGTCCTTGGCCATGGAAATGGCCATTTTGCTTCCCAGGCTGTGGCTATCCTGCATGAACTGCGGTCATTGTAGGACCGTCGGGGCTGTTTGGATCCAAGTATTTGAAGGGAAATATCTATAGTGACGGACAATCACTTAGATCAAATATGTGATTCGATTCAGCCAGATGAGTTTTTCCTTTTTTTTCCTCTATTTGAGCATTTTGGGATACCCCAAGGATTGATTTTTCAAAGAATTGCCCACTTCGATGCCTTTGGGTTTCGATGCCGAAAGTGCGGAATCTCAGAAGCCGGTTGGTTTATTTTTCCTATGATTTACCTCCCAGAACGCAAACAAACACTGAATGTCCCAGCGCAGTGACAAGGCAAAACCTACAGGAAAAACATGATTTTCTTCCCATCATAATCACCATGTTGAATTATGGTTTTTAAACTTTTCTTGTAGGAATCCCAAATTTTAGGCCTAAACCCTGCATAAATCCCATTTAATCCCATCCCATGAAATCCTCCATTAAATGATGGTTGAACCTCCATTGTCCATGGAATATCAAAATTTCCATTAAACCCCCCCCATCAAATCCCATTAAATGATGGTTAAACCCCCATCAAATCCCATGAAATCCTGACCCGCCGTCAGGGCACCTCACCGCCCTGTCCGGCCAGCGCCGCTTTGAAGCGCGCCAGCGCCTGCGCGTCACGGTCCTGGCAGCATCATGGGAGATGAGATCTCATGATGATCTCATATAATAAATATAATAAATATGAGTATACTAAAAATAATATGTTAAATGACGTTAATGGTGTCAACACCAGTAAGAGGCCATGCGCGTGTGGATGTTTTGGGTGTGGGGGCGGGTGGGGGGGGGGGGGCGGGGGGGGGTGGGGTGGGATGTTAACGTTCATTCTCTTGCACTTCCACACATACGTCATGCTCCGCTGCACGTTCCCTTGCACTTCCACACATACGTCATGCTCCGCTGCACGTTCTCTTGCACTTCCACACATACGTCATGCTACGCTGCTGCACGTTCTTTTGCGCTTCCACACATACGTCATGCTATGCTGCTCCATGTTCTCTTGGGCTTCCACACATACGTCATGCTACGAGCCAGAACAGCTTGCTATGCTGATGGTTGCAAAGCTTGGAAAGGGGCCTCCAAACCACAAGTGCCAGAAAAACGCCTCAAATGGCAAAACGTTGCCCACAACCGCGGTGAGTTTGTGAAGCACTTGTGCAGAAAGCCCACAAAAAAGAGTTCTTCTTTGGCCGGAACACAGACTCTAGACAGACAGTGGGACAAAAAAATTGGAAGTACTTGTATGCTGCAGTCTGGCGCAAGAGCGTCAAAGGCAATGTCCTGAACAACTTTGTGATTGAAAGGAAAAAAGGAACTTTTCGGCAAAACCCTCGATGAACAAAACTCCTGTTTCGTGCTTGTAAAACACTAGATTTTCCATTTTTCAAGTGACCCTTCCAAGGGATTTGCACCAGAAATTTATTCCATAAATCCGCCGACCCCGGCCTTGGCCAAGGCAGGGGCGGCGCCTGGGACCACCGCAGGTGTGGAACTTCTCCTTCTTCGCTTTCCAAGGTCAAACCCATCTCGCAGCCAGCAAGCTGCCCCAAGGCTCCTTCTTCGCTTTCCAAGGTCAAACCCATCTCGCAGCCAGCAAGCTGCCCCAAGGCCACATCGCGTAAACATTTTCCTGGCATGCTTCGTCCTCCAGTTAAGACTTCCAGGCATTTGGACATGAAAATTACATGCTTTGGGCAAGTAAGTTTTACTCCGGAAGGTTTTGTCTGAAGGTTTTGTCTTTCAAGCCCAAAGCAGCCGTTCCCGCATTCCTGTAGTAGCAGTTCAAATCATTGACCACGCTTACAACTTAAAACGCTTAAAACCCTTAAAACGGTGACTTGGCATGAACAGGCACCCCAAGGCCACACATCAATGGCTTCTTATGGGCCGCTTCAAACAATCCCTTGGCATGCTTCATCCTGCAGCCAACAGGCACCCCAAGGCCACACATCAATGGCTTCTTATGGGCGTCCAAGCCTGCCGTTTGCCAGCCCTTAAACCCTTAAAACCCTCCAAACCCTTAAAAGCCTTAAAACCCTTAAAACGCTGACTTGGCATGCTTCATCCTGCAGCCAACAGCCACCCCGAGGCCACACATCAATGGCTTCTTCTGGGCCGCTTAAATAATCCCTTGGCATGCTTCATCCTGCAGCCAACAGGCACCCCAAGGCCACACATCAATGGCTTCTTATGGGCGTCCAAGCCTGCCGTTTGCCAGCCCTTAAACCCTTAAAACCCTCCAAACCCTCCAAACCCTTAAAAACCTTAAAACCCTTAAAACGCTGACTTGGCATGCTTCATCCTGCAGCCAACAGCCACCCCGAGGCCACACATCAATGGCTTCTTCTGGGCCGCTTAAACAATCCCTTGGCCCATCTCGCAGCCAGCAAGCTGCCCCAAGGCCACATCGCGTAAACATTTTCCTGGCATGCTTCGTCCTCCATTAAGACTTCCAGGCGTTTGGACATGAAAATTACATGCTTTGGGCAAGTACGTTTTCCTCCGGAAAGGTTTTGTCTGAAGTTTTTGTCTTTCAAGGCTCCTTCTTCGCTTTCCAAGGTCAAACCCATCTCGCAGCCAGCCAGCCGGCGCAAGGCCACATCGCGTAAACATTTTCCTGGCATGCTTCGTCCTCCAGTTTAGACTTCCAGGCATTTGGACATGAAAATTACATGCTTTGGGCAAGTAAGTTTTACTCCGGAAGGTTTTGTCTGAAGGTTTTGTCTTTCAAGCCCAAAGCAGCCGTTCCCGCATTCCTGTAGTAGCAGTTCAAATCATTGACCACGCTTACAACTTAAAACGCTTAAAACCCTTAAAACGGTGACTTGGCATGAACAGGCACCCCAAGGCCACACATCAATGGCTTCTTATGGGCCGCTTAAACAATCCCTTGGCATGCTTCATCCTGCAGCCAACAGGCACCCCAAGGCCACACATCAATGGCTTCTTATGGGCGTCCAAGCCTGCCGTTTGCCAGCCCTTAAACCCTTAAAACCCTCCAAACCCTCCAAACCCTTAAAAACCTTAAAACCCTTAAAACGCTGACTTGGCATGCTTCATCCTGCAGCCAACAGCCACCCCGAGGCCACACATCAATGGCTTCTTATGGGCCGCTTAAACAATCCCTTGGCATGCTTCATCCTGCAGCCAACAGGCACCCCAAGGCCACACATCAATGGCTTCTTATGGGCGTCCAAGCCTGCCGTTTGCCAGCCCTTAAAGCCTGCCGTTTGCCAGCCCTTAAACCCTCCAAACCCTCCAAACCCTTAAAAACCTGAAAACCCTTAAAACGCTGACTTGGCATGCTTCATCCTGCAGCCAACAGCCACCCCGAGGCCACACATCAATGGCTTCTTCTGGGCCGCTTAAACAATCCCTTGGCCCATCTCGCAGCCAGCAAGCTGCCCCAAGGCCACATCGCGTAAACATTTTCCTGGCATGCTTCGTCCTCCATTAAGACTTCCAGGCATTTGGACATGAAAATTACATGCTTTGGGCAGGTACGTTTTCCTCCGGAAAGGTTTTGTCTGAAGGTTTTGTCTTTCAAGGCTCCTTCTTCGCTTTCCAAGGTCAAACCCATCTCGCAGCCAGCCAGCCGGCGCAAGGCCACATCGCGTAAACATTTTCCTGGCATGCTTCGTCCTCCAGTTTAGACTTCCAGGCATTTGGACATGAAAATTACATGCTTTGGGCAAGTAAGTTTTACTCCGGAAGGTTTTGTCTGAAGGTTTTGTCTTTCAAGCCCAAAGCAGCCGTTCCCGCATTCCTGTAGTAGCAGTTCAAATCATTGACCACGCTTACAACTTAAAACGCTTAAAACCCTTAAAACGGTGACTTGGCATGAACAGGCACCCCAAGGCCACACATCAATGGCTTCTTATGGGCCGCTTAAACAATCCCTTGGCATGCTTCATCCTGCAGCCAACAGGCACCCCAAGGCCACACATCAATGGCTTCTTATGGGCGTCCAAGCCTGCCGTTTGCCAGCCCTTAAACCCTTAAAACCCTCCAAACCCTCCAAACGCTCCAAACCTTCCAAACCCTTAAAAACCTTAAAACGCTGACTTGGCATGCTTCATCCTGCAGCCAACAGCCACCCCGACGCCACACATCAATGGCTTCTTCTGGGCCGCTTAAACAATCCCTTGGCATGCTTCATCCTGCAGCGAACAGGCACCCCAAGGCCACACATCAATGGCTTCTTATGGGCGTCCAAGCCTGCCGTTTGCCAGCCCTTAAACCCTTAAAATCAATTCTAAGCGCAATGATCTCTCTCTCTCTCTACCAGACCACCCCCAATAGGGGGGTCGGCGGCACCCGGGCGCTAGCCCATTCTATAAACATGTATAAATTACTACAGTTTCAGACACTTCCCTGATCGAACTGGCACTGTGTGATAACATCACCGACACGGCCTCTTACAGACGCTGTTACCATGTTAATGTTAGATGATATCTAATAACTTAGATCTAATATAACAATGATAGTGATACTAAGTTACTGATCGTATAATGATAGTTAACTGTGGTATATTGATAGTATACTCATAGCTTTGGTATCTTTGTATTCTGACAGTATAATGATGATATAATGAAAGTATGATGACAGTAGATTGATTGTATCTTGATAGAATCGTGATAGCATAATGATAAGTAGATCAAATTACTATAGTGACATATATATATATATATGTGTATGTGTGTGATAGTCCAGACACCATCTTCATTATGGATGATATGTACTAACTATAGTGTTGATAGTCATATACTAGGGCTATGAAAATGGGTGTGTGGTATTTAATGGTGATTAATGAAGGTTTAACCCCCCATATAGGTGGGGATGTTAATGGGAATAATATTGGTGGTATATCAATGGCTCTAACCATCTTACAATCATGATGGGGCTGTCTGAAAATGGAGTCTTTTGTGGCTAAAACAATGCCATTTGCACCATCCCCCAGTCATCACCATAAATATATAGGTGGTATGGTTACCATTCCCAGTCATGGGTGGTTTATTGTTTTAACCACAAAAAAAAAACCGGGTAAACCCCCATTCTGGCTGACAATGGATGACAAAGCATGGGATTACGGGTACCCTATCAGACATGGCAGCCACATATACAGTGGGGTATAAAACTCATGGGTTATATTGGTTATATTAATTGTATAGCTCGATATTGGTTATCGTTACTTATCTTTATGTGGTAGATTATGGCAATTAGGAACAGTACTGTAAGTAATTAATTAGAAATACTGGCTCACAATTAGAAAACTGGCTCACTGGTGGTCAGTTTTTCAACCCAACTGCAGAGTGAGTGCTGATAACTTACTTCAATTCATGGAAGATCTCCAGATTCACGGCTTTCAGAGATGGGCTATCCCCGCAGTTCCACCAGGGTCATCAGTGGCCCGTCAGTCGGTCTTAAAAGTTCTATACCTAGATCCTCTAAGACGAAGTTAGGCCGATCAGATGTTGTATCATTGTAAATTGATAAGTCACTTCAACCTATAGTGAGTTATATTACCTATACCCTTACAGATGGGGTTATATTACTACTGGTATCCATGTAGTTAGTTATATACCTATAAGATCCAGTTAGACTGACTAAGCCCGTCCAATAAAAACCCAATCACAAGCCGGCAGCACCTGGATCCGTAGAGCCAAGTGCCTCAAAACCAGCTCCAACACCTGGGCTGCAGAGAAAATTTCCAAGTCTTTGCTGTGGAGATTTTCTCTGCAAGAGTGACTGAAACCACCATAGAAAAACTCGTGGTTGTTTGGGGTTGCATGTGTGTGTGTGTCTGCTGATATGAGTTATTTGCATGTTCAAACACGAGAATATGAAGAGAACAGGGAACAAGAAACCAACCACGCTGGCAAATGAAGGGGGATGCAACCCACAAAGAAGAGAAATATAAAATTCAACCTAAGTGCCGAGATCCCAAATTCTAAAAATATCCATGATGCAATGTCAAACCAAATCCCACTTTGAAACCAAACTTCTCAATCTGCTGTTTGAGTAGAATCAGAACTATGACTCTCTTGTAATTACCCTCTGGTAATTTAACATAGCTATTGAAAATGCTGATTTATAGTGGATTTACCCATTAAAAATTGTGATTTTCCATAGTTATGTTAGTTTACCAGAGGGTAATCAAACCTGACACTGGAAAATCCATCACAATCCATTTTTTGTAGGTCATCCATCACTGGGAAATTGTCTGCGATGTTTGCAGAAGAGGGTCTCTGAGTTTAAACCACCTGCAGGGAGCAGTGTCAAAACCCTACTGCAAATTCCAAACGTAATGGTTGCTTGTTTATGGGATTCTTCATGTCATGGATTGCGATTGATAATCCCCAGAAACTTTTTGGGGTAGAAAACGGTATACAGTACCCCCGCAATTCAAATCATCCACCAACCTGAAAATTTCTGGACGATATCCCCGTGTTTGCTGGTTCCTTTCCCATGTGAATCATGGTCAAATCCCCATGGAAGAACATGGAATAACTCATCAAGCATTATGTTATATCCTAAGATAGGTCATGTTCCTACAAATTGGTCATAATCATCAACCAACCAGGCTTTGTGATGATAAACATCAATCATGATTTCATCCACAATGGATTAGCACAGAACGGGCCAAGGCGCAATGTCGCCTTTCTGAGACTTTCCGCGCAAGGCCAAGCCTCAGCACAAATTCTGGCTGTGGTAGTTGGCTTAGATTGTATTATATACACAATATATTGTGATTGCATGATTGTATTACCTACAAATGTATATATATGTGTGTGTGTGTGTTTCATACATAGTATTCCCATGAATAATACTCTATGTGAAATTCATTATATGGTGCAGTAGCTATCTTGTGGTATACTAACATAGACGTGGAAAATCCATGGTTTGCCTAAGAAAATGATCTACAACTAGTGGCTTCTTCACATCTACGTTCGTTTACCAGAAGTTAATAGTGAATAATGGACCATCCCCAAAATCATCATTTTTGTGGGTGTGATTCCAACCATCGCCAAATGGTAGATTTATTTTTGGGTGTCCCACATCATTCTTCTAATCATCCCATTTATCCCACCAATAGTCAATAGTTAGTAGATGAAACTAGTCCAGTAATGGCTACGTTAACATTTCCAGTGGTTAAATAACCAGTAGTTGAACTATTCCCAGAATATTCCATAATAGCACACGCTTAAATCACCAGTAGTTCGGTAGTTTATAGATGATTTCCCATCATGTTTATTTAGCTATTGTGGGTGGAAGAAATCCTGCACCAGTTTAATAGGTGGTAAACATCCCATTAATTATAGACTTTCTACCATCCCACGTGGTGCAGGATTTCGCTGGCCCATCCACTTAAGTAGATTGGTAACTATTTCCAGATATTCCCTGTATTGGAATGTCAAATAGGGAGTACTATGACAAATACAAGACTATTAAATCCATACTATTAATAGTATTAATAGTTAACTATTCCAAAATATGTAATACTCCCATCCAAGAATAGTAGACCATGATACTTTCCCATGAATCATATGAATATATATATATATTTAATAACCTTCAAATATGGAAAATATGAACTGGTTGGTGGTTGACCTACCCCTCCGAAAAATATGAAAGTCAGTTGGGGCTATGATTCCCAATATATGGAAAAATAAAAAATGACCCAATAGATTATTGGTTGGTGGTTTGAACCATCTTGAAAAATATTAGTCAATGGGAAGGATTATCCCATATATTATGGAAAATAAAAAATGTTTGAAACCACCAACCAGTATTATTTGAAATAACCACGTTTCCCATGAATTTCCAGACTCCCATCCAAGGCACTGGGGAGTCCCGAAGTCGTCGCCAGATGCTGCGTGAGATCCAAGGCCCAACGGATCTCACCGCCCTGGACCTCCTCCTGCGATGGAAATCGTGACATGCTGGAGTTTTACCATGAAAAATGGGGAAAAACCATGGAAGAATGCGAGAATTCACATGAATACTATATATATATATGAAACATGTGGATTCAAACAAGAGATCTGAATTTAAACCATGGATGCTGCCATTGAAACATGAGTGTTTAACATCATCGAGGCATCAAGAATGATGGATTTGAGTACGACGAATGCTGGAATTCACCAACAAATATGAATAATTAGTTTGTCATCAAACATGATTTTGAAATGGAGATGATTTGCACAGATTTTTCGAGCAAATGTGGTGAGTGTTCAACAAAATGGAGATAAAACCGTGTCAAATGCTACTCAAGAAAAGGCAAATACTCGCTGGCGATGATCTTGGAACATTCGAAAAGATTGGGATATTGCCTACCCAACAAGAACATGGCTAGCGTACCTAATAATCAATTGAGGTAGAATTTATTAAATCTTACCACTGGGAGTTTGACAAACCTGTAGAAATTTTGGTTTATTGTTGGGTTTATGAGACTAGTAATCTTGGATGCCCGGAAAAACAAAAAAGTGATGCTTTTTTTCTTGGTAGAGAAAACAGTATTCCACCATCAAAATGTTTGAAATCCACAAACTTAGCAAACCAAGGTGTACCAAATGTGTTCGCCGGCAGCAGAAAATCTGAAGATCTCCTGCCCACGCTGATCCTGAGCACAAGGATGGAGGAGATCCTGGGGTATCCCTTGACTGAAGAGTCATATAAAAAGTGCCATTGGGGCCATATAAGCCAATCATGTATATATATATAATTATATATATAACATATACTGTAGATAGTACATCCCCAATTATTGCATAAACCCATCTCGTCTTGTTGGTGTCTTATGTCCCATTATATCCCACTATGTCTCACTATATTCCCATGGAATCGTCGGTTTTATACACCGTACTCACTTTGTTGGTTAAATTCTTAAATCACCGAGTACAGGGCGAACATTCAAAAGTTATTAAATCCATATTAATATAGACCAAATACAGTATCTACTCATATTTCAAGGATCTTCCCATCTATTGTGAACAATTGTTGGCAAATAGATCAATTATCAAAATAACCCTGTATTAGGTGGTAAAGTTTCCATGTTTACCCTCGGGCAAACTAACACAACATAACACAACTATGGAAAATCACCATGTTTAATGGGTAGATCAATTAATTAAAAATGGCCATTTTCAATAGTAGCTTTTTGTATGTTTACCAGGCCGGGTAATATAATGTTTCAAAGAAATGAGCTTCCCACTTATTTGGGATTGGTCCTTTCCCAGCTTCGGGCTTGGCCGGGCCCACCAATAAGGCTGATAAATATCCACTTCTTGATGATGAACTCCGCTATGAACTACCACAAGTAACTACCTATTTTCTGTTCGACAAACCCATGGTTTTTCGGTTACTAAATCTACTTCTTGATGGACGTCCATCCCCGGTTTGGATCCGCTCAAAATGACATGTGTTTCACTTGGTTCATGTGCTGGGCAAATCATGGGGAGTTAACTAACCCCCAACTGTTAGTGCTGGTGCCAGGTCACCATTGAGGGGTACCAGTTTTCCATCCATTGGGTCATCACCACTTCGCCCAGAAAACAATTGCAATTTGGGGGGATACCTCATTTCTATCCCCATTGGCCCAGAAAATATCCCCATTCTATCACCAATATATCATATACTCATCTCAGACTCTACCGTACTCAAACATGGCGGCAAATCCATCATCCATAAATCTAGGTTATATGGTGGTTTCCTAAAATAGGGCTACCCCTAAATCATCCATTAAACTAAACCATCCATAATGGGGATCCCCCATGACTTAGGAAACCTCCATATCTATGGAAATACCTATGGGAATATCAATGGATTATGAATCATGAATGGCTTATAACTAAAAAAATGATATCTCATGAATACTTCTATTGGCAGTAAGTTACGTCACGTTAGTAAATATTACCATGTTAGTTACTTATATGGCCAGTACCCTCTGGTAAACTTACATAACTATGGAAAAACACCGCTTTTTAGTAACTGGGCCATTTTCATCCATGTTCCATAGATATGTGACATAAATTATCAGAGGGTATATCCCATTCATCATCCATTGTTATCTGACCCAGCTCTAAACCTCCATATACTTTCCGAGGCACCGCTTCTCGCCAATCCTCCGCCACTGTCAGATGCGACACAGGGAAGGGGCAGAAGCCACCTGCGGCGACTGGGCGCCAAGCGCAAAAAAAAAGGGGTCGAAAAAAAGGTTAGGCCGAGATACCATGTATGGGATATTATATATATATATATGTGTAAGCAACAAAATAGTGGGATTTTTCAGGCGATTTTGGATGGGAATGAGTGGGATGATTGTGCGACAGTGTAAACCTTGGAATGATAAACCCAGGATCCCCCCAATATGGTGATGTCATTTGCTACTTAAATGGTACCACCCCAATGACCAACGGCCCAGGGTTTATTAATCCGCGCTTGACATTAATCATACAGTCTGCCACAGTCAAAACATGGCACATGTGGTATGGTAATCCATCCCATACTGGAAATCCTCTTTTCATGCGCGCATACATCCTTTTTAATGGATTCATGACCATCCTACACTGTGGGTATATCACTATAGTCACTATATCCCATGATCATCCCAGTAGTGGAAGGACAGCTGCTGACTCCGCTTGGCTGGTTGATTCGTAACCGACCAATGGTTGATATCACCATGGAAAAAGAACATGTGGAATATCAGAATATCCAACGGAATGATATTCCAAATATTGATATTGATATGGAAGTATTGATTATTGATTATGCTTTCCAAATATCTGAGAATATCGGAATAATCACAATGGAAAAAGGCAAATGTCGAGTGTTCACAAGTTGCTTCTCCCATGTCCTTTTACATGAGTTGAAGGGAATCCCCGTTTCCTGTATTTGTTTGCTGGTTACATCGGGTGTTGGTGGTTCACTCCAATTTTTTCTTGAGCATATTTTTTTCCTGCTTGAATACCAGTGGTTCCTGCTTATCATCAATTCTTTGTTTCAACTGAGAAAAGAAAAATATTAAAAAAAAAAACATGTGTATAACACTATAATTATATATAATGGTTAACTCTGTATACATATATATATATATTATATAATGGTTATGGTTAAATCCCCATTGAAGAACTCATATATCTTGATGGTCCCCTCCTTGCCTCTCTTGTGGCTCAAGAGTTCTTGGGCCAGGCCCACGAGTACTTCCACCTCAGGCCTGGCATCGCTTCCTGTGTCCCGAACTTGGGACAGATGTGGCACGAGACATGAAAAAAATCCCTGTTCTTCTGAAATGCTGGTTGATCAATAGCTATACTTCTATATATCCATATATCATCATATATCCATGGTTATAATGATCCTCAATCAGGAAGGTATAACCCTCTACAGCATGCGATAAAAGCGGTAATTTGGTTTATTTCACAAAAATAAGGAGGGTTTCTGGTGGATATATTCAACTCGTTAAATTGGTTTAACCAACTTATAAATTGGGGATGGCAGAAATTAAAAGGCTGATACCATCATGGATTTGTCTCCAAATATGGATTGGAAATTTCGGGGTGTAAGCCAATATGTGGCAATCCTAATGGGGAAGATAGTCATCATCAAACATGAGTTTTGGGGTACAGTAGACTATTTTCAAACAAACCAATTATTTGTACAAAACAGTCCATGTTGGCGTGGTGACAATTTTGAGTCAGGATTACTAATCACTTACTAAGTAGGATAAGCCTTCAAGTACAACCATCAAAAATTGAAAAAAATGTGGATTTGGCAGCTGGTGAATAGTTATGGTAAGTTGCCTCAATTACTGTCTAAATCATGTATAGCACTATGTGTATGTATCTATAAGTATAGCCCCAGCATCTACCAGAGAATCCTCCCAAAGAATTTGTGCACATCTTAATGTGGGATTCACCCAATTTCGTCACCATCTCCAAGTCCCATTTTTATTGGTGCCATAAACCATCCCCCATGCCGCACTAGTTCTAAAACTGGCAGCCAGGTCGCTCTCCCCGTGCCGCCAAACGCACCCCGTGCCGCGTCACGCGCGTGGCAAAGCCCAAGGCCTGCTTTGAACCATGGAAAATCCAGAGTTGCCCCACAAAAATGAGGAGTTGGAAAAGACAATAATGGCGCTTCAATCGCGACCAACAAACATTGGGGAGTGTAACCCTGGTCTGTGTTGCAGCGCCTGTGCCCTTCGAACGGCGGAGAAAATTTGTTTGGCCCCATTAATCATTTTGAGATAGTTGCCAAACAACTTTTCTCATGATTAATGGGGCCATCATTATATATATACGTATATATGGGTGACTATTGATCAGTTTAATGGTTTGCCCCAATAGTTGCCGTGATGTCACCCTTTTTTTAACCATCATTTCCGTGATGTCGCGACGTGAGGTCGTGATGATGTTGGGCCCATGATTTTTTTGTGAAATCAACAGAATCTAATCAGCATCAATTGTGTCGCCTGTGCTTTGTGATGATTTGGGCTTTGGATGTTTTAAGTTCTAATCGATAATCATATGATATCTTGGTACCCAGTATATCTCCATGAATTTTGAAGTCATGTGTATGTATATATATATACATTATATTCATGATATCCAGTTGTATCTCTATTGCATCAAATATCTTTCGTTATCCGATGTATAGTAAAAATTGTTGAAACTCATGCATCTCCAGTATTTCAGCATGTATTTGCTGGAGATGTGTCGTCTTATGTTCAATCCCTACAGGGTGGTAACCCCCAGTTTTGTTGTTGGTTTAAAATCCCCGTGAACTAGTTCGATATAACCCCCTTATCAATCAACCCAAACGGAATTGGAGTTATGTTCACTTAAATAACGAACTGGGGCACTTGGGGCTGTACTTCCAGTTATAAGTGGATATATATTTCACCATAGTTATATTATAACTATAACTGAATATCTCCCAACTTTTAGATGTTAGGATCCTAAAAACCAGTTGGTAACTATTGCTATTCCTATGAAGCTATTCCTATGAAACACTGTAACATAAATCATGGGATTCTCATGGGATGCTTACCATCTACCCCGGCATGTTCATCCCATCGCGCTGGCTGTCCATGGCCAGCCTCCAATGCCACAGCCAGGTCGTTGCGGTCGTATTGCGACAGGGAACGATCCACGTAGACCGCCAGCTGTGGGCTCTGCCTCCGGAAACGGCACCCATCTTTGGGGGGATTCACAGCCATGAAATCAATGAGTATTTTGATGCCGGTTAAAAAAAAACAAAAAACAATAATTATTATTATTATTATATAGTAGTTCACCATTATGCTGGGAGTATCCAATTATATGGTTTTTACATAGTAGATCATTTATATTTATAAACACCATATAAAACAAAAAAAACTTCCCCAGGTTCAGAATTTTTATGTCGCTAGTATGTTTACCATTCCCAGTCATGGATGGTTGAGTATTGTAAAAAACAACACATGATATAGTTGGGATTCCGCTCTGGGATTCACCCATAATCTGATGAACCTTCCAGTTTTGGAGGCTTTATACTACCCAGTTTGTGAATTTGGGGATGGTTTATTGGGTTTACCATGATGCAACCAAAAATGTTTTTCCAAGAAATTTTGAACCAAAAATATGGTGCTTAATCAAAAAAGGTGATTGTCCAAAATTTCATCATTGGAGTAACCAAAATGGTGAGTGAGTGGTTTCCAACAAAACTGGGAGTACGCTCATCGAAATTGGGATTTAAGCAACGAACAGTGTGGGGATTGAACGGAAATTCTGATAAGATCTGATAAGCATCATGATTTTCCCAGTCAAAATTCCTGACTTCCCGCTTCAAAATCAGGAGTTCTCCACGAAATCAAGAAAATCCAATTTGAAACTTAGGATTTCCCCAATTTTTGATTTTTGAATGCAAGATGTGTGTTGTTTTTCAATCACTAAATCAACTAACGTGTATATATATACATATGTATGTGTATTATATCATCATTTTTGCTATGTTTATTATTTATATTGAGTATTAGTAGTAGCAGTAGCAGTAGCAGTAGCAGTAGCAGTAGTAGTAGCAGTAGCAGTAGCAGTAGCAGTAGTAGTGGTCGTGGTGGTGGTGGTGGTGGTGGTGGTGGTCGTAGTAGTAGTAGTAGTAGTAGTAGTAGTCGTAGTCGTAGTAGTAGTAGTAGTAGTAGTAGTAGTAGTTAGGATTATTGTTAGTCTTGTTTTTTACTGTTATATTACTATATTATATTAAAATATTATATTAAAATATTATAAAATATTCTTGATGATTATTACCACCAGGCTTGCTCCCAACACCCCAGATACACCGGAAAAAACTGGCTATCGCCTGTGCGCCGTCGGTGCCGCGCTGATGGACTGCAGCGCGTCTTCCCCCAGCAGCTGCAACACGCTGCGTTCCACCGCGGCGCGGGCGTCTTCGGGGACCTCAACCAGGGGCCCGTTTTTTGGGGCCGTTGGTTTCAGCCAAAAAAAAGAAATTGGAATTTATATCTATAATACATATATATATATATATAGGCTTCGATTCTTGCACTGTTTTGACTCCACAGCACGACCTGTAAGGTTTTTCAGGCTGTGACTCAGTCATCAGCCAACCTTCAAAGGAAATCTTTCTGAAATGGTACGGTCATCCATGGCAGGATGATTTCACAACAGTTTTATTTCTTCAACTCATCCATGGCAGGATGTTTTGCAAAACAACACATGCAATCCATGGCAGGATTGGTTCGAGAAAAAAATAAAAATGACTCACAAACGCATTGAAAAGTTTGGTCTTCCGTCCCTCTCAGCTCTTTTCAGAGTGGTGGGAGAGGCTGGGTGAACTGAAAAGGGGCTTAACCATGAACAAGTGGAGTCACGTTCCAGATCTCAGCCTAACTTTCTGCAAGAAAAACAAGGCTTCGATTCTTGCACTGTTTTGACTCCACAGCACGACCTGTAAGGTTTTTCAGGCTGTGACTCAGTCATCAGCCAACCTTCAAAGGAAATCTTTCTGAAATGGTACGGTCATCCATGGCAGGATGATTTCACAACAGTTTTATTTCTTCAACTCATCCATGGCAGGATGTTTTGCAAAACAACACATGCAAATAAAAATGACTCACAAACGCATTGAAAAGTTTGGTCTTCCACGACCCCTAAACTCGACACTTGTGTTGATATGGGTGCCAGCGTCGAATCATTTCTTTGGTCTTGGAGGAAAAGGTCATTGATGGAATCTTGGAAAGGCCATCTTGTATATACACTTTGGCCACTTGTGCTGAATTCCAGCGTCCTTTAAGCAGTGCGCGCTCCATGGAGCCTGTGGACTGAAACGTCCACGTTGCGCCACCGCGCCTCAGTGAATAAGGGCGAAAACAGTGATGTAAAAGATCGAACTTCCGACAATAAAATGTGAATCTGTTCCTAAAAGCCTGTGGTGAAGCTTGCCAAATGGGCACTCTCGTCAACCCCTGAAATTCACGCAATTTGATTGCTTCACGGATAGCATCCAGAGCAAAACTGTCATCAAAAGCAATGGTCTCACCAGCACCATGCCTTACCCCAGTCTTAGTGATGGGGAGACTGAGAACACCCTCGTCAGCACCCAAAATGAAATGTTCAGGGCAGGCGTTGAGTATTTCTCCGGTGCGGAGCAAGGCGAAGAAGCCTAAAAGAAGTAGCGCTGCAAAAATTAAGTCATCATGATGGAGTGCATGGTGCGCTAACACATAGACCAAGTCAAGTGTAAGAGGAGGCGCCCGGTTTGGGGCTTCCAGTTTCCGCCATGTGCGGAACAGCTTCCAAGTGTTAGGGATGCACTTTTTCGTACTGGGCTCAAAATGATGGAGCCCACAAAGGGCATCACTGACAAAACTCAATGTCTGACCCCTTTCCCATTGCCTTTCCAGCCAGTCACTGATATTATCATCCAAATGAGACAAATGTTTGGTCTTCTCAACGGTCAGTAATAGCCTGCGTAAGGCGACATAGTACCTTTCTTGGGTTCTTTCAGTGATGGCGGCGTCCGCCAAAATTACATTCTTTCGTTGCGCTTTGCGTTCTGCTGTGGTTGTTTTGGCCAAAAACTTAGGCCTCACGACTCGCCCCATCAGTGGGGTTGTGAGATGATTCTACATGGGCCACGACCAAAGTCAGCCCATGTGCCAACAAATAGGCGTTGAGGATCTTTAAAGTTCGATTTAGAAGACGACTACTGCTCCGACCCTTTCCGATGATAGACATGCAAACATAACTGTCGGTGATGTGGAAAATTCTGTAGTTCACCAGTTTGTGATGATTGACTGTAAAAACCACTGATTGCAAAATAGAACGCAGTTCTAAGAGGTTTATGTGTTCCTTATGCTGCCACTGAAATTTAAAAACAGGCTTCCAATGCCACCACTCGGCTTCAATGCTTTGACGGGGAAAGGCTTTCGGAACCATGATCTCACCTGTGCTGATGCGTACGTCTGAGCCAGTATGATTGACCTTTGTTAACAACAAACGGTTTAGGTCTTGAACTGAAAGAGATTGATCAGGGCAGGTAGAACCATACTGAAGTTTCCTAGCAAGGGGGGCTCTCAATCTCCATGGTGCCCTGAAACCAGGAGCCATGCCCATGCGGCTGCAAAGGTGTTCATATGAAAAAGTAGGAGTGAAGTTTCGACACATAGCCGCAGCCACAATCACAAAGGAATAGATACTGAATGAGTCTCCCAGTAACGAAAGTCGTTCGTTTTCGTACCGTTTCTTAGACCCTTTGATGTCAGAAGCACTATAGCACAATTCAGTATGGTTATATCCGTACCCCAACAAAAGTTCCCGTTCGATTGAATCAGCTAAACGCCACTTGCCGTTCCTCCAAAATACAAATCTCTCAATGTAATGATATGGGGGGAATTTGAAGTCGTCAGAAGCCCATCGCCCTTGAGTGTCTTGGTCACACCTGGCCAACCCTGCTGGACAAGGAGGAGGTCTTTTTCTCTCAATAGCCTTCATGGCTGTGGGGAGAACTTCTCCCCACAATCCAGGTTCCCAAGATACGCCCGTTTCCAACCATTGCTGTTGATCAGGGTAGGCATTTTTCGCTGTGACCTTCCACCAGTAATGTTCTTCGTCAATTTCAATGCCAGTAACAGCATCCCACAGGGACTCACTCGTCCAACACAGGCGTGGTCTGTTCATCGGGACGGCATCACTGCTGTTCAAATGAAAAGGAACTGTTTCCAACTCAGCGGAAATCTCCTCCAAGTCTTTCTTCGGCATGGAGGCCACATTTTCAGTAGCGTACTTGACAGTAAAAGTAGGCTCACACTCCTGTTTCAAGAGCTTGATGATCCTAACCACCTCATAGAACAAGCTTGATTGGGCACCAGCCAATCCTTCACGACCCGCCTTTGCCGAAGACAAGTCCACACAGGGAAAGCCTGCCCAGAGGTGTAGTTCCCTTACTTCAGGAAATTTCAGCAAGATCTCCCAAAGGAGCTCTCTGTCCAAGGACCTCACATCTCCATACTGCAATGAGTGCGGCCAGCGGCGAGAGCATACCCTATTTGCAGGACCATGTATATCAAAACTTACCAAACCCACTGGTGAAAAACCCAGGATGTCGTATGTTCGGAATGCTCCCCCTATTCCATTAAAGAGTGAGATCACGAGCACTGGAATCACACCCGTGTTCCGCTGACTAAACAAAGAAGTGGTAAGGTAATCTTTCCCTTCATCAGTCAGACTGTCTGCAAGGCCTACAGCACCTCCAAAGTGTGACGCATCTGAGGCAGTAGTAAAAGCACTAACACCTGAGGCCAGGTTTGCTTGCATAAGGGGAGCTCCTGCCACACAGGCGAAGAGTTCCCGGCGAACTCTGCGCACCAAGTCTAGTGAAAATTGTTTTCTACCCACGAATTCCCAAATAGCTTCAAAGAAGCCCATGGCAGGCCTGCGAAATTGCATAATGTGGACCCATCGTCCTGCAATGACCTGAAGTTGTTTCTTTGACAAGTGTGGCCTACTCAAGATCCAGATGGTGGCTTGTAAGAGGCGTAAGAGCCTCTCTGGTGATGGACCCAAGGTCTTTGAATCACCTGCGATGAAACCACCCAGTTCTTCTCCCAGCAATACACCACTCTTTCTCTTCTTTTCGGCCGATATCACATGAGCTGTGGCCCATGCAGCTTCTGCTGTGTCGTGCAATGCATTTCCACTCACAATGGTTTCAGAAGGGTTCACAAGTTGCCCAGCAGCGAAATTGTCCAAATAAACGTGCCACCACGTGCGGTGGGATTGCTTGGCAGTCTTCAATAGCCCTACCATCCAAAGGGGAACTGACTTGTTCCGTGCCAGTTGGTGCTCACTGCTGAGAGAATATTTAAGCAACAAGTTTTCAGAAATCTCCTGCATCACTGAAACAGAGGATAACCAGCCCATTGGTAAAACCATACAACTCAATGCATAACTAATTCCCGGCTTGAGGCCCAACGACTCACCATTCCGCACAACGTTGAAACTTAGGTATCTTGCCCAACAATCTGGCAAACGAAAAAGGTAGAAAGCGTTTGACATGTCAGATTGCCACACACGAATGACTTCATCATCTTCAGCAACACACGACATCCAAGACGTAATCCCCGGTAGATTCTTAGTAGACCCTTGAAGCTGTAATAAAACAGAATTTGAGGGTACCAGATTCATGATGATACGCAGAGCAGATTTTCCTGAGGGTGTAGTTGCACTCTTTTCCACTCCAAAAAGCCCATTTAATAACTTCTCCCCGCGGTATGTCGCAACTTCGGACAAGGGGGTCCAGCAGCAAATACCCCGCTCAACCATCAAATCCGCAATAGCATGAAGATCTTCTTCCACAATGTGAATCTTTCCCTGCAGTTTGGGGAGTTTCTGACCCTTGTCGGGGAGTAGGCACAGTTCAGGATTCAACAACAACCTACGGGTGAAAGGTGAAACAAACTCCAACAAATCAATACTACCACCATGACCAGGAGGAGGCAAAGAAGGGAGAATCTGTTCAAGTGAAAGGCGATGACATGTTTTTACCTCCCCCCCACTATAGGAGACACGCGTCAGCTTGACATCTTTTTCAATGGCACTCAAGTCGGCTCGCATGTCAACACTGTGGCGCCACATGTTCTTCACAGCGCCACGTATGGAAAGCACAACCCTCTTTTCGGCCTGGCTCCATCCCCCAAGCTCAAGTGGGGACTGCTGGCCATGAAGGGTATTACATGCGTAGCATGCCAACAAGGTCCAAGCATCTTCAGTGAATTCTTGCACAAAGGCGTGTTGCAAAGCCGCAGCAAATGAACTCTCCAGGAGCCTGTCTCTTACCATTCTCAGTTCTCCCAGCCTCACAGGCAGGGCCACGCGCTTACGGCTGGCCCGGGGCCATGCTGTGGAACAAAACAAGGTGAAGAAAAGAGTTGACTTCTGTGAGTGCAAATGTCCTGCAGCTGACTGCACAAAGACCCAAGCCAGCGCACATCCTGTAATGGCGGTTGACGTGCACTTGCTCAGTATATCAGTGAAACTAGGGACCCAAAATGGGCCTTGACTGGGAGAGCTGGCCGGTGCAGGCCCAATGGGGCCTTCTGAAGGCCCCTCACAAGCACATTTGGGTCCAGGCACGGCGACAGCCAGCCTCCCATCTCTCATTTCGGCTTGTCCTCGGCCTTGTCCTTGTTCTTCTCCCAGTCGCGTTGTGTCTTCTCCCAGGAGGCACCCTGATTGCCCCCCCATTTGCCTTTTCCCTTCTTTCCTTTTCCGCGTCCTTTGGCATTGCCTTTGCCCTCGTCTCGATTGTCCCCATAGGACCACTCTCCTTTGCCACGGCCTGCCCGGCCTTTGCCAGCAATGCCACTCGCGCCGCTTAGAGGTAGCGCTCCGACCGCCTTTGAAACCAGTCTGGCATGCTTCCTGGTGGCCAACACTGTAGCGTGACCGGCGGCTGAGCTGTCTTCCATGGGGTGCAGCTCCATGTGACGAGCCGTCGACCAAGAAGCATCCACCAGGCTCTGGTGGATGGCCATGTAGCGTGCCGCCAATGTATCCCCCAGGCTGGCGACGTCTCCTGACCTCAGCTGATCTATGGAGATGGAGAGATGGTGTAACTCCCTCAGTTCTCTCAAATGGTGGGGATAGGACGGCTTCACAAAGAGGTTGAAGTGGCTCATCACCTTGATGCCGGAGGTCAAAGAGCCGCTTTCGCTCCCACATTCCAGAAGTGCTGTCTGATCCATCTGTTGTCGAATGTGGTCCACCAGAAGCCGCAGCACTGATCCAGGGTTGTCCCTGCTCTTCTTCTGCATAGGCGCTTCCAGCTCCGCATCTGGACTCGCCTTCTCCGACGCTTCCTCCTCCGAGTAGTCGCTGCAGCTGGGACTGGAGCTGACAATCGTCCCATCTTCCAATCTCCTCTTCTTGCGCTTCTTCCGTTTCTTGTCTGAGTGTATCTCTTTCCCTGTGAGAAGCTTGACCAGCGTCTCGGTGAGCTTCGTGGAACGACTCTTGCCCTTCTTGGTCCTTTTCTGTCTCTTGTCCTCTTTCCGCTTGGAGGTGACTTCCAAAGCTTTGCGAACCAATTGGCCACTCAAGCTGCTCGTAGTGATGTCTTTTAAAGCCAGCTGGTTGGAGTCCCTCGACTTCAGAGGGCGTCGTGGGTCCCCAGAAGTTCTCGCCTTCTCCTTCTTCTTCAACTTGGGCTCCACATTCATCCCATTGATCAGTCCTTCGTCCTCCGCATAGCCTGAGTCTATGGTTGAAGACACCTCTGAACCCCGGCTCTCTACATCTGACCCTGGTATCTCCTCTACCTCCTCGGACTCTTTCACCTTCCCTTGTAAACGTTCTCGAGTCTCCTTCAAACGCTGCCTGAGCTCTTGCCTTTTCTGGTCGTCCTCTTTTGTCTTTCTCAGAGCCGGTGGCCTTGGCTCCTCCTCTGCAGGTGCACGACGTCCAGGACCGCGTTTGGGGGCCGCGCCGGGATCTTTGGCTGCTGGCTTGCGCCGGCCAGGACCCGCCGGCGCCCCAGGTTTGGCCTTGGCTTTGCGAGGGGCACGGGTTTCCCCAGCCTCCTTCAGCCATCGATCTGCTAAGGCCAAACGTTCTGCTGTAACATAGACCTGATCCCTCATGAAGGCACTCATATCCCACAACCTGACACGAGTTGCATGTAGGCCTTGAGAGGTGTCGACGCCGTCCATGTCCGGGGCCACGCATGGCTCTGAGAGACATAGATGAATAAAATAGGGGGCGTCGTTGAAAGCCCGGTCCAGCTCGGCATCGTAGGAATTGTTGGTGCATCCCAAGTGCTTGCATTCCAGAGCCAGCGAACCGTCTATCCAATTGGAGACCTTGAGAATCACAAAGGATGCCCAATGTTCCACGGGGTCGCGGAAGGTAGAGCGCGCCAGGAAGACCTCGATGACCTGTCCTCGAGTGGGAGACAAAGCTGACCAAGCCTGTAGCTGGTCCACATCTACATCCTCTCCTGTGTCCTCTTTCTCCATTGTGCCGACTAAAGGCGATCAAGGGCTTCACGGCCCTTGTGTAACGAAAGCTCCAAGAGGGCCGGACTGGCCTTCCTGTGGACCCTGAGTTGCGGGTTCTCAGCCAACCTGGACAACCTCTGGTGTTTGCGCCCTCCTCTGTGGGTGCTACCTCTCTTCCTTTTCGACCTGTGGGTGTGCGACTTGTCCTCTGATCTCCTGTCCCTGTCACGGTCACTGCGACGCTCACGGCCAGGGCCGGCGCCACGCCTGTCTTGTCCTCTGCGATCTGGGCTCCTATCAGGACCTGGGGGCTTGCGCTTGGCGGCAGCGCCGTCGTAGATCTGATCTGGGCTCTCTTCTTCTTCTTCTTCTCCTTCTTCACCTGCTTCTGTCGCCTCCTCTTCCTTAGGAACTGGTGGCGGCGGAGGCGCTGGTGGAGCAGGGAGAATAGGTCGAGCACGGGGAAGCTCTGGTCTCTCAGCCGGGCCGGAACGCGCGGTGTCACGTCGCGGGCGCGACTGGCTAGCACTGGCAGAAGCGCCAGGTGCCGCCCTGTCAGCCGTGCGACTTAAACCAGCGCTCAACGACCTGAGGCCACGAACCTGTCGCACACAGGATATGACCAGATCACCAGCCCGCACTCGGGCCCCTTGACTGTCCCAATGCCCGGCTAACTCTCTTCCCAAAGCCTCCCACCCTGTGCAAGCTAAACACCACGAATCTCCTTCAGCAGCTGGAGTCTCCCTACACTTAGCGCACAGCGGGGGAGGCATTCAACTACTTGAACTGAAAAGGGGCTTAACCATGAACAAGTGGAGTCACGTTCCAGATCTCAGCCTAACTTTCTGCAAGAAAAACAATATATATATATATAGTTCTATAACATATCACCTATTTCTCACCCGGCCAAAAAAAGTTTTTGTTTTTTTGTTGTTTAATGAAACACAGATTTGGGGATTTCAAATCTAACCAGCAAGAATTGGCATGTCGCTAGCAGGAGTTGGGATTTGACCAGCAACAACTGGTGGTTCGGCAACAATGGTGATTTCCCCATCGCAGCAAAGCATGGAATCTATGTAACCCGCACAAAATCGGATTTTACGTGCAAAAAAACTAGGAAATCACGATCGAACTCAACAAAAAAAGGAAACTTCAACAAGACTTGGAGCCCCGAAAGGAAGATCCAACCGGGGGATGATACAGGCGAGATACAGGTGAAGTTTGCTAATAGCGATATCACTGCCCAAGTCCGCAGCCATGAACAGGTAGACCATGCTGTTTGATATTTATTATTTTTGCGGATCCCCAGTTGAAGTTAGTCCCCAAAAATGCGGGATTTACCCAAGTTTGCCGTGGGAATGGTAGGAATGACGTTGTCAACTATCTTCTCGCTTGTACATCCCATGATATTCCACTATATCCACTTCAGACCCCCGTATCTGTTGGCTTAAATCCCCCCATGCATTAGATTATAATAATCCCTGGGGAAAGGCCTCGTGCGGAGTCTTGTAACCAGCGTAGTGCTCGAGTTCCTTACCCAATGGCAAACACTCTTCAGTGGCTGTGAAAATTGGGGATACCTGGGATACCAAAAAAGTCAGTGCCAGTTTAAATGGGGAACATGATATTGTCTGAACCTTGGGATGGAAAAATGGCAATATCCTTGCTTAATCAACATTTTAATTTTAGCCATTTTTCCGACAAATAATGCTTATTTTTTGCCATTTTCCCGACATGTTCAAAACCGCCTGGTCCGGTGTGAAACTTGGATCAGGTCCAGGGTTCCATTAAGCTTGACCTCAAAAAGTTGGTTGCTGGAAAGTGATATGAAGATATTGACATCTAAAATACCATAGATTCAAACCCTCTGGCAAGTTCACGTAGCGACAAGAACAACTCACCATGTTTTAAAGGTAATCATCATATTCAATTGGTTTTTACAGCAAACTGCGAAAACTACAAAAGAGTAGATCAGTTCAAAACCCTCAGATGATAAAGGATGTGGCACCTGCAATGACAATCTTGTGCGCTGCACGTTCCAACAAAACCAAAGTTGAAGGAAACTATCCCGCACATGACCCACGGCCATCCATGTACCTCCAGAAAACCAGCATCAAAGTCGGAATTCGGAAAACAAGCATAAATTGCAGTTCCATTTGGCCTCCAATAGATGGGATTCCTCCAAAACACGAACATCATAATTCTGTGTACTCTCCAATCGGAATTCAGAAATCCCCCGGCCAAAGCAGCCACAGACAGAACGGGATCTCTCAAGATGTCCTGGGACAAAGCAGGGATTGAGTTGGCACAGTAACCACTTGCCATAGCAAGCCTTAGAAATACATATTAGTATGTTATATATATTATATATTATATATTATATATTATGTATTATATATTATATATTAAATATTATATATTAAATATTATATATTATATATGTTATTATATGTTGTATTATATTATATATATATATTATATATTATATATTAAATATTATATATTATATATTATATATTATAAATTATATATTATATATTATATATGTTATATTATATACTATATATCATATATTATCTATTATATATTATATATGTTATATTATATATTAAATTATATATATATCCCCATAAACCAAAGTTCTCCCTGGGGTCGCCATGCCCTGACATCCCTCGTTTTCGTCGCCATGCCGTGGCTCCTCCAAGATCGCCAAGGTCTCCTTGGAATGCTTCGTGGGCGGCTTCTTCTTCTGACTCTTCGCACGCGCCCAGGCCAGGTTCAGCTGGCTCTGGCGACGCTGAGACGGCACAAATCGGTCTAATGACTAATGGCTCATAAAGAGATCGTGAGGATAGAATGGGGATATAAGGGGTATGTATAAGGGATATGATATGTATAAATATATGTATATATACAAAAACAAAACAAAACATAACATAACATAACGTTACATTACATTACGTTACGTTACATTACATTACATACATATGTATATATATATGAGGGATATAATGGAATATGTATATATATATAAGGGATATAATGGAATGTATAACCAACAGTGTGATTTGAGGAAATCATCACCAATAAACATAGCAGCAGTGCCACTGCAGGGCATCCCACAAGACCATTCAAACAGAACTGGTGGGTCTGGTTCCTATTAGTTCAACGGAAAATGCACAACAAACCAGTCTGATAAATCTGAAACCATCTGAAACCAACAATGTGATGGGATATGATCCAATATGGCCTGATAGCCAACTTGAATGACCCTCAATTGTTGGCGATTCATGGCAGAAGTGCGGGGTTTTAGATCAAGAAACCTCTTTTTCTTAGACCAACAATGAGGATATAATGAGGATATAATCCATATGTACTTATCCATCAGTTGGGGAGTCTACTGGGAATATATGCCTTGTATGCTTCATGGACCCAGCAAATCCAAGAAATTGGATGCGCGTTTTTGCTGCAAATAGTTCCACTGGTTGATATATAGAGAGGAGTTAAACTCCATTGAGCAACAAATAAATCATGGTATGAATAGGTAAATGAATAGTTAACCTTCATTAACCTCCATTGAATAGGTAAATCAAGATAAATGGTATTCCCAGTCGGCCCCTCTATTGTTCCCAACAGTCATTGTCTCCAATTCCCAAGATGATATATTGTTGTCATCATGATGTCAACCTTTTTAAATGGTTCTAAGATGGGCCAGCGGCATGTTGAACATAGGTAAAAGAGCTGAAAATAGGGAAGAAGGGGACAGAAGCATCAAATACTCATATTCAGCCTGCAACCTCAAAATACCCTCTTTTGCCGTTTACCTACGCATCTGTCCATCCAACTAGCCATGACTTTCTACTTGAGGGTACAGATATATCCCAAGGTCTCCAAAAAAAACAACAAACATCTCTAGTTGTACATCCATATCATATTTATCAAAATCATTTATCTCATATTTATATCCCCATGATATCCCCATGATCTCCCCATGTTCCCTCGCTTCGGCGCCATGGCCTGGCGCGGACCGTCCGGCAGCGCGTCCCGAGGCCGCCGCAGGCCGCGCTTCCAGGACTCGCGGAAGGGGCGATGGCCCTTCTTCAGCCGCGCCGAGTGGCGCAAAGCCATCCTGAGACACGGGTGGCACCGGGTGGTGGCGCTTGTTGAAGATATCTGGAGCAAACATGGGGAAGATTGGTGAAAATGTTGGGTTAAGCCGTAAAACGTTGGAAATGTCTGGAATTGCAGCTGCAAATGTGAATTTGGTGGGAGTTGAGCTGCAAAATACAGGGAATAGTGGGATTCAAGCAATCCTGTTGTGTTGGTTTAATGAAAGTCAGCCCTATCATCTCATCCCAAAAAACACTGAACGTCTAAGAGTATGGCTACAATCATGCAACTAGTACTGTTGAAGCAATGCCCATCCTGGGTTGATGAATACGACCAACTGATCAAATGCCGATTAGGGACTACTCAGCGCCAATATGACATGGGAACCCCCATCAACCCAAACAGTAGGGGATGAGTGTTGACATCTTGGCTGGGCATCGCTGATCACTTGTGTAGCTTGCTTCCACCTTTCCAGTTACCCAGTAGACCCTGGGGGAAAAGACTTCGACAAAAAAAGGCCCTGAACAGTGTCCAGTGTCTACAAAAATCCGCCACAAAATCTGGGATGCAAAGATATTCCAGGTGGGTTCCCCATGGTTCCCCAGCCAGAGGATATTCCTAAGATCATCACTTCATCCTCCGATCGATCCCATCGCCATGTATCGCAGGGGAATTTCCTCGAGGTGCACCATTGACAGTCGACCAAACCACTGCCAACCTGGGCCGCTTGGCCGCTTGGCCGCTTGACCTTCCCAGCCTTCCCAGGAGCATGAGAAGTCCCCAGTTGGATGTCCAAGGCCAAAGGCCCAAGGCGAGATTCACAGCCACACATCATGAGATATGCCAAGAAATCCGTGCCAAGCAGGATGATCCTTCAAGGAAATGTCTGAGTTTCCGACAGAAAGGAAACACTGCACCAAACACCCAGCGCCAGAAGTCAACGTGACAGAGCCATACTTTGTCCAGTTCTGATGGGTAAGCAGTTTGCTCTTTCCAGACTTATCTATTCTATACTGCAAATCTCTAAGAATCTGAAGTTTCTCATGCAAATAAGTGGTCTGATGTTGACAAGATTCATGTACATGTTCTTCATGTTCACATGTCATGTAGGTGAGGTTTGCAGTTCCGCAATCTGGCAGCCATGATGCTTTTCTTTTTGTGACGCGGATGTCTTCGCTTCTGCCGAATTCTGCTAAATGCTGGCAGCCCGCAGTGGTTGGGACCAAGGCGGCATCCGTGGGATAAGCACCAATTAAAAAAATGTGATCAACATTGGAGAAAAAAAACATCGTCAAGGATTAAAATCATAGTAGTGAAAAAATTATAGTAGCACCAAAATTAACAATAATAACTATGATCAAATAACAATTGTACAATAATAGATGATAGTAATATAGAACTATAATAATCAACATAACAAATATATATATATATAGTAATAGTAACACTATTCAACAGTTACTGGACAGTTGCGCTTCCAAATGGTTCACAGTTCCCGGTCACTGCCAATTTTCCAACGCGTTGGAGCGTGCGTTCCTGGAATCGCTTTGGCTTCCCATCTGCTCCCGCTTGCGCTCTCGAATCCTGGGCGCAACAAAAAAACATGGAGAGTCGAAGGACCGCAGGGTTGATGTAATTAGTCAAGTTGGAGTCTGTGTTTTTTCTTTCAGTATGTATGTATGTGTATATATATATATATGGTCCCGTCCTCCGTCTCTCCACCCCCCCCCATGGGTTGGGTCCCCAGGTAGCAGCCCCAATTCCCTTCTATTTGCAAGCTATTGGCAGCATTTCTGAGGTCCAGCTTCGTATTTGCTAGGTTTTGCAGCATTTCTGACTACCAGCCTCGCATTTACTAGGTTCTTGCTACCTTTTAGGCGGCCTACGTAGCACACATACTCCTTCAAAGTACCTACGTGCTACCTATATACTCATATATACATGTGCTATGTATCTACTGTATCTACGTCCTATTTACTACTTGTGTACTCTGACAACACTACCTGTGTTTAACATATACCGTACCTACCATACATGTCAATGATGCCATGCATACCATACCTATTATATCTATCATACATACCATACATACTAATACATACAATACATATGAAATGTAATTACCACACCTACCATACACACAATAGCAAACATACATGCCATACATACCACACCTACCTTACATGTCCTTACATAGGAAATATTCCATACCCGTTATAGTAACCATACATACCATACAGACCATACATACTGTCATATCAAACATAACATGCCAAACAGATTTACATACCATACCTACCATACATACCAAACATGCCGTACTTTCCAAACATGCCATACCAGACCGACCATACACACCATACATACCCAACATACCATACCACACCCCCACCACACCACAGGGGGGGGAGGGGAAGATCTCATATGGGGCCAGTATATGGGACCCATCCCATGGAGGGGGGGGGAGGGGGGGGGTGGCAGGGCCTGGTGCATATATACACTTGTATACCCGCAACATGCGGGGCTCACTGCCAGCGAATAAAATGTTTTCTGCTGGAGCACTGGTGAGGTGAAAATTGGGTAGGGTGGGGCGCAATAACGTTCGGAAAATGAGGGTAGTTGGGAATGATGCTACGCTAGAGACAAATTGGGTTGGTGTGGGGGGCATTGGAAACCTGGCTTGGTGACAGTTCTGGAAGCATTCGCGAAACTGCGCAAAGACCTTTGCAGCGGGGTGCTGAAAAAATGGCACTGGTTCAAACCAGAAAGCCACAAGGTGTTACAAGAGGCATGTAGAAAAAAAAATAGCGGCACATAACGTTGATTCAGCATTGGGATGGCAACCTGATTCTAGTTGATTACCACCCCACACACCATTGTTACTTCTGGGCAATGGCAAACATCCCGCCTTGCTCGTGTGTATATATATATATATTGTTGTTTTTAGTTAGTATGTATATATATATATGTCTATATACATATATATATATGTATATGTATATATGTATATATGTTTATATGTATATATGTATATATGTATATATGTATATATGTATATATGTATATATGTACATGTATATATTTATATGTATATATGTATATATGTATAATATATATATATATATATGTATATGTATTTGTGTATATGTATATGTATTTGTATATGTATGTATATATATATGTATATATATATATATACACATCTATATATTGTATATATTGTATGTATCCCAATATTGATATTTGTATGTATACTTACCTATTCATATAATATTTTTTGTCTATCCATCTATCTTTCTATCCATCCATCCATCTATATATCTATCTATCCTATGTTGGCATTTCACTGGCTGCGAAAAATATTAAGGATTTTGTTGAATTTTTGTCGAAAATGTAGAAATCATGCTGACAATGCTAAATTCACCACAACCGGAAAGTGCAGATGCTGCTTGTTTTCCACTCACGTCCCAGCATAGCGCTGTCCAAATGCAATGAGCTTGTCGATGGCAGTTGGGCACCTCAGCTGGATCAATTCATTTCAAAATACTTCAACTGTGATGTGATCACTCTGCTTTGGATGTGAGCGCAATAAACGTCTGTCTAATAAATTCAAAATTTAAACAAACAATGTTGATTTGCAGCCACAAGCCAGCAATCTCTTGCTGCGCGCATGTCCAAGGTTTTGAGCAGCTAGGGCAGCTGGTGTTTGCACCACTGACCAAACCAAACGTTGAAAAGTATTCTTCCTGTAGCTTCAACCCCGATTCACAAGCTAGGAAGAAGCACCCCTACTACTACTATGATTGACCCTACAGCCACCTGACCCCATCTCATTTTCGAGAAGAAGGCTCAGGATTCAAAGCTAAAGCTGTCAGAATAGTAAATACCCAGGATCCGGCTTTTGAGAGCCGAAGATATAAAGATTGAGCAGCCCCAAGCTTGGATGAGCAATGCCTGGAAGAAGACAGGATTCTCCAGGAAGAGCACCACAATCTCACCATCGAAGAAGCATCACCAGCTTGGGCAGCAGGACAGGGCCGCATCAGGCAGCGACCGGTCACACACTCAAAGAGAACGCATCCATAGGACCAAATGTCGACGCTGGGTTTCAGGTGCTTGCAAATTTCCTTGCGGGAAGCATGCCATAGTTCTGGAGGGCGATAAAGTGCCGTGACATATTCAGAGTAACGCAATTGAGCAGCTTGAACGCTTTCCATCATCTCAGACATGCCAAAATCCGCAAGCTTCATCCTGAAGGTCTGTGTAGACCACAAGATATTGGCAGGCTTGACATCCAGGTGCAGCACGCCCAGGCCATGAAGGGCTTGCAAAGCAGCCTTCACTTGAGAAGACAAGCACAGCATGCTTTGTTCATCCAGGGCTCCACTTTCTTGCAGGACTTGCAGCAAAGATGGTCCTCCAAATTCTAACGCAACAAATGGGAAAGGTTTCTTGCTTTCGTCAGCTTTCAGAAAGACAGGAAAGAGAAGCTGCTTCACAGGCTCAAGCCTGTCTCTGATCAAATTCAGCACCAGCAGCTCCTGCTTGAAGTCCACCATGCTTTTGCTGCACTTGTACACCTTCACCGCGCACATGCTACCATGTGGACCCATGCTTGCAAGAACAGTACCATAGGAGCCTTCCCCAAGAGGTTCCCTGTCTGGAAGAACCTCGAAATCGTCAATCTTTGAGATGAGCTGCTTTGCTCTGTTCTTGGTGCGTTGCTGGAGCTGCTGGGGCGGCGCGGATTTTCGCTGCTCTGGTTCACCGCGCGCCTCTTTTCGAAGGGGTAAGCCTTGAGCTTTCATGGCAGCCCTTTGCTGAAGAAATTCTTCCTGGCATTTCAGTTTGTATTGCTGCTTCTCTGCAGGCAATAAAGCTTTCCAAGCACGGCCCAGCTTCTTCATCTCCTTTTGGTACTGCAACCGGGACGACCCTGGCTTGAGAATGCTTTTCTCCTTGAGGAATAAGGCAAATGGTCGGCGGGCCTTTGGCACAAGGCCTTCAGAAACTGCAGCTTTGCGAGCAATGTGTTCACGGCTTTGGCACTTGTCCTTTCTAGGAGGGCAAGGCTGCTTGAATCTCAGCCGGAACTTTGGAGAACGCTGCAGTGCCATGGGGCAGCAGGTGCGGTGCAGGTGCCTTTCACTTGGGCCGCATAGAGCTATAGTGATGAGCAATGGCATCGATCTGCAGAGCCTGCTGCAAAATAAACAACAACGGCAACGGATATTAAATCGAAGCTGCTAACAACAACCTAATGAAGATGGTAAGGACGGATGTAACAGCTCAGCACATCCCAAACAAGCGGCGGACTTCTTGCCACTGGTTCCACAGCACATGCAGCCTTTATTTTAACGATTTAGAAGCCTCTTGTATTGGGATGCCCAACTCTTCTGCAGCACAGGTGGCCAAAATTGCTAGAGTTTGGTCAAAAATTGGGCAGCTGCGGCTGCTAGGCTAGCAACGCGGGGGCAGCTGATCATCCCTCATCGCTCTCAGGTTCCGCAAGTTCTTCTTCAGCATTGGCATCTGGAGGGATTAAGTTCTGCAACACATCTGCAAAATACTGCCTTACAGATTTTCCCAGCTCTTCAGAATGCAAGGTGGAACCTTGGATCGAAATGAGCCCACAGGCAGCTCTGTCCGCCACTCCCTGCAACCACTGCATGTGCTCACGGTTCAGGCACAGCCCGTGGTAGTGAACACCTCTGGTGATGCAAGCTTCCATCATAGCTCCTGAGCCAGCTGTCACATCAAAGACTGCCTTCACTTTGAACTCATCTAAGATGGCCAGGTAGAAGTTGATGGGCTTGCCTTCTTGCCAGAACAAAGGCACATCATTGGTGTGCGCATCCTGCCAAGCTTGTGGGGCTGCTGGTACCGCGGGGGCAGCAGCAGTGAAGATTTTGGCTTTCTCAGCGCATGTGATGAGGGGCAGCTCGGAAGCAGGACGGAAAGCAACTCCAGAATATGTATTCTGGAATGTGGTTGCCTCCCCACAGGATGTGAAATTCTCCTTCTTTGCTGTCTTGAGCTTGCTGCGCACTGCTGGAAATCTGATAGCAGCCGTCTCAACCTTTCTGGAACTCAGCGGAACCCTTCTGGTGCGGCCGGCTCGGGGAACGCATCCACCGGTATAGATGATGAAGATCTCCTCTGTCTGGGTCTGGGACAGCACAATATCTTCCTAGTCAGCAGCAGGACATCATTGAACACAATATACACGGTTCTCTGCAAATGGCGATCGGTTAATTCATAAGTTAACAAATCTAATGATGCATTGCGGCATGATTGTGCAAGCAAGCCACATGAATGCGTCTCACCTCTCGCATCCGACCATCGCACAGAAGACAAAAATCAGTGGGGCCAGTGAGGCTTATGGCAAACTCTGCCACAGAATTCCACTGGGCTGCTTGGGGCGGCGAGGGCTGCATCCAGGGTTCATCTCCAGTTTCTGTTGCCAGATCAGCTGAAGCAAAGATAAGCCGATGGCTGCTGTTCAACTGCCCAGAATGGGACCACACCTTCCCACTTCCTCGCAGAGCAGCTTGCAAAGTATCTTTTGCCAACTTGGAAACCACGCTGAAGGTGATGAACTTGCGCCGCTCTGCCTGCACCTGTTTCCAGACCCGTTCCCTTGCCACAACTTCCTCTTCAGTCGAACCAGAAGGAGTGAGAGTTTGAATCAAACTCTGGGCGGGCAAGGATGTGCTGATGGAGACACTTTTGGTGCTGGTGTCAAAAGACTGGACGACCAAGCAAAGGCACTTGATCAACTCCAAGGGCTTTGTCTCACAGCCCTTTTGCTCTTTCTGAGCAGCTTGGGCAGCTTCAGAGACAGCATGTGACAATTTCACATTGTCTTGGCTGAGCGATCGGCAATCATCCATATGCTTGCCCTGCATCAACTCTAGCAGAAGTTCCAGCAATGCTCCAGTCGCCTTGTTAAAGTCTGCCTTGAGGGTGTCCAGTGCTGACAGCTCTGGCTGCTCTGCTGCTGGGGCGGCAATTTCGTCCTCCTCCTCCTGGATCACAACGTCAGTGCAGGCAGACATCTGGCCCTGGAGGAAATCCGCCCAGCAAACTTCTGGATCTAGGATTCGGAGCAAAGCATTAGCGCACCTCTTGCTCTCAGCATCAGGCATCTTGTTCTGGAGCGGCATGAGGAAATCGAAGGCCTGCAGGGCTACGTTATTATTAATGAACCAGCGACTCACTGGAAACCAGCGACTCACTGGAAACCAGCTGGTACTAGTAGTACCGCACAAGGCGGTGGCGGAAGTTTCAAAAATAGGAAGCCTATAGAAGAGGTTGGTTGTTGTGAATCACATATGGCAGGGCGAATCAACTGATGGACAGACAGGTGGTTAAAGTTGTGTTTTTTGGAGTGGTTGCAATGGTCGCAGTAGTCACCTCACCCACAACTGCTGGATGTAGTGTGGTGCAGCGCAGTTGTAGTTGTAGTTGTAGTGTGGTGTAGTGGAGTTGTAGTTGTAATGTGTAATAATAAGTGTAGTGTAGTGGCAGTTGCGGTTGTAGTTGTAGTCGTCGTGTGGTGTAGTTAGTGCATCGTGTATTCTGGTATACTGTAGTGTTTTGTACTGTAGTGTGGTATAGTGTAGTGTAGTCTAGCGTAGTGTAGTGTAAGGTAGTTTAGTTGTAGTTATAGTATGGTGTAATGTAAATAGTGTCGTGTCGTGTAGTGCAATGTATTGGTAGTTACAATTGTAGTTGCAGCTGCAGTTGTAGTTGCAGCTGTAGCGTAATGTAATGCAATTAGTGTAGTGTAGTGCAGTGTTGCGTAACATAGTGTAGTTGCAGTTGCATGTGTGTGTAGTTGTAGTGGCAGTGTAAGTAGTGCAGTGTAGCATAATGTGGGGTAGTTGAGATTGTTGTTGCAGCTGTGGTACTAGTAGTTGTTGTAGTTGTAATTAGGGTAGTAGTGTAATGTAGCGTAACTTATTTGCATCTGTAGTTGTAGTAGTAGTGTAGTGTAGTGATTGAAAACACAGCAATTCTGCGAGACTTCCTCAACTTTTGAACTTGATAACGTCAAACAGAAGCAATTCTGCAGGACTTCCTTAAATTTTGAAGTGATCAAAAACGAAGCAAGTCTGTCATGTTTTTCCGAAGGTGACAACATCAAAAGCAAAGCCATTCTGCCATATATGAAATTCCATGACTACTCCACTTCAATCCGCATGGCTGCTCTGGCTGCAGAGGGCAGCTTGACTAGACCCTTGGCCGCGCCAATTTGACCCTTCAATGCACCATTTTGAGAAAAACGCGCGTTGAAGGGTCAATTTGGCGCGTTGAAGGGTCAAATGCACATATGTATGTATATAGATAAAATACACATATGTGTCTATATATAATATATATATATATTCGCACTAAATAATATATATAATATATACATTTACATGTTCATATACATTTATTATAGATATATTACCTTAAAGATAATATTTACTAGATCTAATTTTTAAAGGGCAGGGCCCAAAACAATTCTGCGAAACATCCTCATTTTTTGAATTTGACAGCATCAAAAACAAAACTAAACAATTCTGCGAAACCTCAATTTTTGAACTTGACGAAATCAAAAGCAAAACAAGTCTGCGAGACTTTCTCATTTTTTGAACTTGACAACGTCAAAAACGAAACACTTTTGCGAGACCTCCTGAATTTTTGAAATTGACAACATCAAAAACGAAACAATTCTGCGAGACTCTCTCAATTTTCGAAGTTGACAACATCAAAAACGAAACAATTCTGTGAGACATCCTCAATTTTCGAAGTTGACAACATCAAAAACGAAACAATTCCGCACCCGGGGTTAGCGAGCCTACCTTTCGACCCTCCGGAGTTTGGCAGCTTTCCTACCTTTTCGCGCACCTGCATCTTCTTTCTTCTGGCTCCTTCTATTCCTCTGATTCTTCCCACCTCTGCTTTTCCATCTGTCCATATTGTCGGAAGTTTGACTTCTAAACTTCCTTCGAAAAGCAGCATTCCCCATCAGATTTACATTTTCTGTCCACCCCACCTCCAAAGCAACGATGCATGCCTGCCAATATCCGTGGGTCCCATGCTTCCGGTCGCCCAAAAGCCAAGCCTCTGTTGCCTTGGTTGGATTGATCAAGCCCAAACGCAAAGCAAGGTGAAGCATTCCCACCAGCTAACCTGCAACTTTGCCAGAATTTTGTGCAGTACCACTGGGTGACGCTTGGGCAGCTGTGGCAGCTCCTTTTGCAATTTGTTGCAAACGATTGAGCTTCGAGTAAGCATTCGACAGCAAATCGCGACCATAAGCCAGCTCAAGTTTTCTCATGGACGCTTCAAATTCAGGGCCGTCATTGATCAAGGTAAGGATGCCCATCGCTGCTCGGTGCATGGAAGCATTGTATGAGGCATTGTTGAAGCGCAGCTTGTGGTGGGTGCCATCAGAGACCTGCTGGATGTTAAGCAATTTGACAAGGTGGGCGAAGTCTATGAAAGTAGCTGATAAAGCTGCATCCTTGATGGACTTCAGGCATTCCGATGCATGGTTCCTGGCCAGAGCCCAATCCGTTTCACTCGGACAAAGTCTGACCTGTATGGTGACAGAGCGGCCAACTTCCCACAATAGATCAAGCCACTCTTTGTCCTGAGCTCTGTCTCACCAAAGCAAAGCACTTGGATGCTGCATGAACCAAAAGATCATTGGTCATGGATGTGGATGCTTGCAGGAAAACAATTAATATGCACAGCCAAGAATCATTCTTCAGCAGCGCATGGAAAATGGCTACATACCAGCTCCAAATCACAAAATGGCACCCGGCAGTGTTCAAACATGAGTCGAAATGCATTCGATTTTCAATATCGCTGCTAGCTTCAACGCCACACACCATGGTGATGGGCCAAATGAGCCTTGGCTTCTGCTGGCGCTGCTTTTTGGGACCTCGGGTAATGAACGCGTTGAGGGCGACATCTTTGCTGAAGTAATCTGCCTCGAACTTCCGCAGGGCGCTAAATGCAACATCGCCAGGGCTGATGTCTCTGGAGATGCCTGCGCTGTACACTCCAGTCCGCAGCCACAGCACCAGGCCAGACGCTTCATACAACCCGTTCACCTGCATGGAGACTTGGCATAGCTCGGATGTCCAAGGAGCCTAAGTTCACATATGGAGCTGGCACAAATATCAAAGCATCGGAAGCCATTGCAAAAAGCTTTGAACAGTGATAAGTAGAAATAGGCTTGGAGGACATGCCAAACTCAAGAATTGCCACGGCAATGTAAGAAAACTGATGTCAGGCAGCCGGGAAACTTTGTATCCAGATGCGTCTTTCTCCTTCGCATCTGCGGAAATGTCAAGAGGCGAGGCCTTGTACATCTCCTTTGCTGGGCTGTACTTCTTTGGCAAGTTGCTTTTGACCTAAAGAGATGCTGATGCAATCCAATTGGAAAGGTGGGAACGCATTGCACACGAAACTGCTCTGCAGGAAAAGGGAAATTGATTAATATCTAAATCTTAATCAATGCATAGCCATGGGCGAAATCAAAGTCAGAGAGGCCCTGGCCCAAGGTATCAGTTTCTCCATGAACGCGCGAGAGCCTGCCTGAGAAATGGCATCATGGGAAGGGTTGTGCCACTGAATGTGGGACATGCTTCCAGGCTAGCCATGTCCTGTATATTAAATATAAGACAGAATTATACAACTTGAATCTCGGACGTGCACTGGGCTGAGGCCCTGACAGCAGGATCAGTTGGCTCATCAGGCGCAGCCATTGGCAGGACGCTGAGCTGACTCAAGCTGACAATGCTGGGGCTGCAAGGACTGAGTGAGAAAAGCAGAGCATCTAAATGAATAATTGTTCCACAGCACATTGCTCAGGCCCACAATAGAATACAAGTGAGCCACAATACAATATGAAGTGAATGTGTATGGACAGAAGCTTGTCCAAAAAAAACCAGCCTATAAAAACAACAGGTTTGGCCCAGTTGGCCAAGCTCAGCTTTCATCCTGACTTTTTTCTCCGCTGGCTGAGCAACTGCTGCTGGCAGGGCTGCATGGGCAGCTTCCCGCATCCCAAATCAAACACCTCCAAAAACCGCTTGCCCATATATGGAGACAAGCAATCAAGCAGCTGGCGCACACGCTAACTCACTAGATCCAGGCTCAGCTATTGGCTCAGGCAGGGGGCAAAGCTTCTTGGCAACCTGCTCTACCTCTGCCTTCCTCTCACAGAGCTCTGCTTCCAACCGGGCAACGTCATCTTCCAATCTGCGCTTCCGGCCCTGCAATCTCATTTTTTCATGATGCTCTACAAGATCCATCTGGGTTTTGTATTTTGCAGTCAGGCTGACCTTCATCTTGAAGGTGTTGACGAGTAACCCAACTTCTTGATTCTCAATCATCCGAGTCAGGCCAATGGGATTGATAAGCCAAAAGGAACACAACGGGCTTGAATGTGGAGGAAGTGTGTCCAGCAAATCTTTGGTGCTAAAGCGCAGCAGGTGCAAGCAATCTGACTCTTGACCACCAACAGATTGCAGTGGCTTGTAAGCAAAGAAGCCCAAGGTCATTGCCGTGATATGGCTGGCAACCAATGGCACTCCAATGTAGTCACCGGTCAAGTTGCAGCAGTTCTGCAAGAGCACTTTCATGTCTTCGTCCCGCTCATTCTGCAGGAGCAGCTTGAGCAGGGGTAAAGCACGTTTCACATGCAGCAATTCCTTCAATGGCAAACACTCAGGTGGCATTGCCAAATAGTAGGTGCATGGCAAGTCTTTCTCCGTGCTGCCAAAAGTCAGGCTGTGAGGCACTGGAAAGCTCGGCTGGATGCTTGCAGACCTAGAGCATGCAGCTGACAGGCGCTGAATCATCCACTTGCTACTTTCTTGGATCCATTGTTAGACATATATCATAATAGATATTAATAAAGAATTTATGCACAAAATTAATTTGTATTTAAAGGTTGGTGTTGTGCTGCAACCAAGTCACACTAGATCAACCTTCCACTTGCCCGGCAAATCAAGAGGCACAAACGGCTGGAACGGCCGGTGCATGTCAAAGCCCTTGTGCTCATGGAGCGGCTTGATGATGCCTTTGACAACCTGCTCAGCAACGTTCTCCTGCGTTTGCAGGCGCCAAATCACATAGTTTGGGGACTCCAATGCGACGTCCAACTTGCCACCACGTGCTTTGAGCCCCTTTCCCTTGACTGGCGTTGCCTCATGCGAGTCAGTCAATGTCGCACCTAATTTTCGAGCTGTTTCTTTCCGGGTGTAAGAAATGGCAGACAAAGGGCTAGCAGACCAACGCATTGGTGATATGTCAATATGGTAGTTCCCGGCGCAATCCTGTGAAGACAGCTCGTCAAAGCACCTCTGCTCAAAAGCATGGTAGCCAATGGTTGTCCAAGCCATCTTGAAGCTGATCGGTATCTATGATTGAGCAGCTTGGATGCAGGTGCAGCTTCAGCAGTTGGGGGCCAAAGCAGCGGCAGGACTGTGATGGAACGAATTATTCAAACATGTAGCTATCTCAACAAGTCATGATGCACAGAACTGGATAATTTTTTTTGGAAACGAAATGTCACACTTGTAGTTTCACACAAGCTCTCAGCTGAGGGGCAAAACCTAAAATAGCTTGAAGCTGAAGCGGTCCATGGCTCAGCCTTTGCCACAATTAAAATCTTCAGATGCTTGAAAGGATGTCGTATCAATACAGGAACATATGCTATCAAGGAATGTGCTACACACAGCAACACAGCCACCAAATCCGGAAACTGGGGGCAAGGCTGGCATGGCTGGGGCTGCTTTTGGCGCGGCAATCCTATTCCTGCAAGGCTTGATGGGGAAACATCCAGATCTGTTTAGCCAGCTCGAAAGTCGACCACTACAGATGGACGGAAAAGAAGAAAGTGGCAACAGTCCAGGACCCGGCTGACTGCAGGCAAAACGTGAGGAACATCTGCTTGCCACCAGTTGCCTTAGTTCTATCAGCAGGGAGAGACTCCTGCACCTCTGGTCTCTAATATATTATATAGAACTGCACAACAAGTTCAGCCTGGATACATCTAGCCTCAAAGCACCAATTCTTCACTACATGGATGCACTTGCATGCGTTAATCAACACCATGGACTCGCCGCTGGAGCCGCTGGAAAGCTTCTGCATTAGACTCTTGACACCTTTCTGGCCAGACAGCGGCTCCAGGTCAGCCAGCACCGCCTCCCGCATCTCATCCGGCGACACGCAGGCCCATCTGCCAAAGCACTTGCTGTATGGCCCATTCCTGACGGTGCAAGGCTGAAATTCAATCAATCCCAAACAGACATGACGCTGGATTGCACATACTGCAGCTTTCCTATAAGTTACATATTATATAAGTTAAATCATATTGATTTCATTCCAAAAATCCATGGCTGGCTTTCAACTTCTCCATCATCCATTAAGCCACCACCCCTCCCCAGCTGTCGCAAGCTCTCGGCCAAATGAGGCAGCATGAGCTTGTGGGCAGGGCATTGGATTTCAGGAAGCCTCGAACAAACAACCGAGGATGAATGAGCAAACTATTCAGATCATGGGCCATAGCAAAGGATGGCCATGCTATGAACTCATTCAGTCAAAAAACATATCCACATCCACTGTCCAACCATCTTCGCTGGGGCTGCTGGAACGCTTGCGCTCAATGAACATAGTTTCCAAGCTGCCGTCCAAAAATTGGCTTGACAATCCAAGGACATCAGCCAACCTCATCTTGCCAGTGTCTCGGTTTGGCCTCACACGCATTGCCTGGCCAAACAGGTGATGGCAATAGTTTATGATGGAAGCTAAATGCTTATTTATGTATCTACCCTTTGGTGCCACATTCGAATTGGTACAAATATTACATCTATTTATTAATGGTTCTTATTGAACGTGTTCATTCTTCTTGTTACTATTATTTCTATTTTGTTGCATGATTGAAGCCACAAAATGTTTTGTAGAATCAGGAAACGTGTTTGAAACATGCATATACTGCAGATCAAGTATCACGGCTCTGTGCACATATGAAGGCATAGTGGATGAACTTAAATATATTATTGTATATGTGGCCATCCCAGGAAGTGCGCTGCTTGCTTTAACTGCTACGGATAACAGTAACACCTTGTTTAGTAATAATGGCAATATTACTGACGCTAAAATAGCAATAGCAGGTGCAGGTGGTTCAGTAATAGAAGTGCAACCAAAGTTCCAGCAGCAGCAGGGAAGGAGCAGTAGTAGCAGTAGCAGTAGCAGTAGCAGCAGCAGCAGTAGCAGTAGCAGTAGAAGCAGTAGTAGCAGTAGCAGTAGTAGCAGAAAGTAATAGTAGCAGTAGTAGTAGGTTGTCGTCGTCGTCGTAGAAGTAGTCATACTAATAGAGGCAGTAGCAGTAGCAGTAGCAGTAGCAGTAGCAGTAGCAGTAGCAATAGCAGTAGCAGTAGCAGTAGCAGTAGCAGTAGCAGTAGTAGTAGTAGTAGTAGCAGTAGCAGCAGCAGCAGCCCCAATAGTAATAACAGCAATGGCAGCAGTAGCAGGGTAAAACTATTATTGGCAATAGTGTAGCAGTAGCAGTAGCAGTAGTTGTTGCTATAGTCAATGTAGTTGTCAATGTTGTTGTAGTATTAGCTGTAATCTTGCAATTTGGCATAGTAGCAGTATAGCAATGCAATAATAACATGGAATATGGAATACGCGCGCGTTACAGCACCTAGAGGGCTAAGCAATCACGCAATGAAAATATTTGACTAGTTCGCTACCCGCTACCCCAGAAACACGACAGACAATTTGGGGGAATGAATTCTCAATCAAAACAGCCTTGGCATTTTTCTGCTTCCTTTGCTTCACTTTCCGAGGTGGTAAATAGGCTCTCCGGTTGCCAGGACCTTTCGTGGCTCGCCAGAAAGCAAGAATCCCATCCAGCAAAGAAAACTGCAAAGCTGTCTTCTTGGACTGGGCGCGGTCTAGCAGGAACTTTGCGAACCTGAATCCATTTTGCATGTATTGCATCCACAACTTTGACATTGAGCACTTGGCAAAAATGAGAATAAAAGCATGCCAATTTCTTTCAGGAAACGGCGGATTGCGAAGATACACCGCCACCAACAATACACCCAGCTGCTCAGTCCTTTCCAACTGTAGAAATGAAGCAGTCTCCTGCAACTTGAACAGGTGCGTCGTAAGCTTGTCATGTCCTGACAGCAAAGCCAATTCATGCGATCACCAGCAGCAATATCAAATTCCATATATGCAATCCATGACAACTCTACTTCAAACGGCACGGCTGCTCTGGCTGCAGAGGGCAGCTTGACCAGACCCTTGGCCGCGCCGATTTGACCCTTCAATGTGCCATTTTGAAAAAAATGCGCGTTGAAGGGTCAATTTGGCGCGTTGAAGGGTCAAATGCACATATGTATGTATATAGATAAAATACACATATGTATGTGTATATATATATATATAAATTACATTTAATATACATTTATATATATATATATACACACTATATAATACATGTATAATATATATACAAATATGTAAACACAATAATTATATATATATTAATATATATATGTATATATACATATACATGTTCATAATATACATTTATATATACATATATTATTTCAATATAATATTTATTAGTATTATTATTATTAAATATATATTAAAAGTTTTGAGGGGCAGGGCCAAAACAATTCTGCGAAACTTCCTCAATTTTTGAACTTGACAAAACCAAGAGCGAAACAATTCTGCGAGGCTTTCTCAATTTTTGAACTTGACAACATCAAAAACGAAACAAGTCTGCCAGACTTCGTTAATTTTCGAAGTAGACAATATCAAAAACGGAACAGTTCTGCCAAACTCCCTCAATTTTCGAAGTAGACAACATCAAAAACGAAACAATTCTGCAAGACTTCCTCAATTTTCGAACTTGACAACACCAAAAACGAAACAATTCTGCGAAACTTCCTTCAAAAATGGAAAGTTAGCAGAGCTGATGGCCTCATACCAATGCGTTCTGCGATTTGTCCACTTCACCTGTCTAAGGTGCTGCACCTGTCACACAAAATCATCTCAGCAAGCCTGAAGATCTGATGCTCCAAAATGCAACCTCTCTCAGGAAATCAGCGCCCTGACCTCCGAACAGCTCTGATGAACATGTCACTTGTATTGTGCCTGCCACGTGAAAGACATCTTGCAAGATCCTCTGCATATGTCCCACGCCTGCCATTGTTTTAGGAAATGCAACAAAACCCTCGCATGTTGCTCACTTTTGACCAGGTGCATAATCCCTGAGGCCTGCCATGCAAAACGACATCTGAACGTCAAAAGCACTCCGAATCCGTATTTTTTTTACACTTTTGACTTCGAAATGTGCTTTGTGCCACAGCGGCATGCACTTTTTCGACATCTTAACTTCCAAACTTGCTCGGACACTGAGGTGTTTTGTACATGTTGCACATTTTGTACTTCCAAAAACGATTTCCTGCAACATGACCCTAGAAATCGACCTTTTATGGGCTTTGAGGGCAGCCATTCTTCAGGGGAAATTGGAATGGAGAGAGAGAGAGATATATATATATATATGTATTTACTTATTTACTTATTCATTTATATTTGATATTTGTAAATATTATATATATATTATATATATATATACTACGCACCGCCTACACTATAAATAGCATTTATATTAATACATAATTATTGTCATAAAGCAGGTGAACATGGGAAAAAAACGCTGCAGAAATGGTCGACCCTGCAATAAGAGCTGATCCTGCCAGACATGGCATGCCACAAATTTCATGCATCACATGAATCAATAGCCGCTGGACTCTTCTGAATAGTGCTGAATCATGCTGGATAAATACAACAGGACCAAGTAGCAACTATCAAAATCAAAGCGATACGATGATACGATCACCAACCAAGCCCTGGTGATCGCATCCCCAGACCATGCATTAGTCAAGCATCCCCTGGCTTTGGACACTGGGTGCAGGAAGCAACCTTCACAGGCTCTCCGGAATGTGTATGCCTTTCCCTGCAATCGCAAGAAGGGGTTCGGCAAGTTCAGGATCTTCAAGACCAAATTTGAAGGCTCCTGCACAAATCTTGGGCAGCTTGGGCAACTTTGATGGTGGAATTTGGCACCACAAACTTCACATGACGATTTCCCCATGAGATTTCCAAAAGCTATTGATTGAATAATGACCACAAGAAAAGCAGCTCCGAGGCCAGCGGAGGAATGTTGCACTTGGCACGGTACAGCAGGTAGGCAGCTAGCAATGCCTGAACTTCAAGCAAGCGCTCTTTAATCTAAAAAAGGCTTACTTAGAAATCAGAATGAGCGAAATGAGAATATCACAGCTGCGAATATCACCAGAAAAGGAAAAGCGAAAAAAGGCGACTGCAATGGCAGCAACAACGACAACAACCTCCACCACTGCCTCAATAACACCACAAACACTGCAACAGCACAAGCAACAACAACCTATCCCAATCTCATTGCCAACCAAATACGCTAGGGGCTCGTTGGGCTGGCACCCCTCTTAGCAGGAATTCAAGCAAGGGGATCAACTCCTTCTCGCCTCCCCAGAAGCAGTTTTTGGCAGCCTTGGCAAAACAATGTCACATGCATTGTTTCACCGCATGTAGTTGTGAGTGATATAGCTCTGGTTAAAACAAAGGAACTGCATAAGCAATCCTGGCTGTTCTATTCATCTCGTTTGGAGCGTGCCCAGCTTCCACACTTCGCAGCCACAGGCTGGCAGCTTTGCTTGCAGAAATCGGCACCGGCGGCATTCTTGAGCACCTGCGCATTGGAAGAGTGGTGGGCTGGCAAAAGCTTAAAATCAACACACTTGATGGCTGGCAACTTAATATTGAACATCTGACCCTTGGGCGGAAAATTTGACCCTTCGTTGTTGCTCTGACCCTTGGTTGACCCTTGGTTGACCCTTGGAGGACAACCTCGCTCGGTCTCGCGACCCGGAGGCGTATTGCATTGGGCTATTGGGGGTGTATTGGCAAGGGAATTGCGCGTCTCAATACGCCTCCTGGTCTTGAGACCGGGAGGATGAATTCATAGGTGGAATGCTCTTGTCAAACTGCGTTCCTTGAGTTTCGGTATTTGGATGGGAAAATCACGTCTCAATACGGGGGGTCAGTCTTGAGACTGACAAGCGTATTGCAAAGGGATGGAAGTCAAGGTTTTTTTGAAATCCGCAAGTTTCGCTTGCTTTCGATTGCACAATCAGCCCACTCACGGTCTAGCGAATTTGCCAGACACTCCCCGAGACTGACGAAACACCCTGATGAATTTCAAAAAGCATTGCATGTCTGCCATTGAACCAATCCTCTTCACAGTGGTTCTTTTCTTGGCAGTGCTTGCAGTGGCTGCTTTGTGCTCCCCTATTAGCAAGGACCAGCGCTTCTCACTCATTCCGGCACACAGCTTGAAAGCAGAAGTGAGGGTTAAAGACCTTCAGCTTCGACAGGTATTCCCAAGGCTCTCAAAAATCAATCAATCCATCTGCATTTGAAATTTAAAAAGACTTCATTATCAATGGCAAAACTTGCTCAAACTGAGATGACAAGCTGCCTAGCTATATCGCCAAGCAAATGAATCTGCAAGCTCTTGGTCTTCATCGCTGGCTTGAACCATTGAAACTTGCTCAAATTCCATGCGCCGCGTGGTGTTTCTGCCAAATCTACTCTCCGCACTATGCATGAGCCCTTCGCAAAGCAGACCAACAGTGCCGCAGCCTCAGCTTGCAGGTGAAACAGATGGCATTGGGCAGCAGTGGTACCTCACCTGGAAGCAAGGGAGTGAAGCAATTGGCAGCACACTTTTTGTCAATCTCAAGGAGGAAAGCTTTTGGTTGAGCCACTGACCCAAGCAGGCTAGGATGCCTGCAGGTCATCGTACTGTGCACAAACGAATTTGGAATGCAAATGAAAGAGCCACAGGCTTAGCAGGCCCAGCGTGTTCCACACAGGCAAGCTTTATGCTCAGGCATCCGTGCAAGCAATGCATTAAAATTCTTTAATTTGGAACGCTTTCCAACTTTCTTTGACATTGGGAGCATACCAAACCGAGCCTTAAGTTGCATTTCCAACTTCTTCTCCCACTTTGTTGCAGCCTTTGGCTTTCTCCGTGCAACTCCCATGGCAGCTTCTGCTGAGACAGCAATGGCTGCTGGTTTGGCTGGTGCTGCTCGGGCTGCTGGGTTATGCCAATCAACCAAAGAAAGAGCCAAGAGCATGGCAAGACCAACTGTCTGTAGATGCATCATGTTGCCTCCCATGCACTCCAGGTCACTGTCTGATACACCTTCTGGTATCACCATGCGATGAAGAGGCAAACAGTGCAACAGCAGTTTTTCAGCTGGAATGAGACATCGGGCAGCTCCTGCAAGGACAATGTGACCTCCAGGGGTGATAGTTGGCAAAGCCCCATCAGTGCGACAAGGCATCCTGCCCAAGCTCTGGGAGATGTCAGCTACAACCTTTGCAGGATCTGTTGTGGTGCGGATCAATTTCCACCAGCCATCACGCTCCCGAGGCAAATGCAATAGGAGCCGGTCAGGAGTCAGTTGTGCCAGCTGAGGGTTGCCTTCAGCCAGCTTGAATTCACGTCCTGCGGCCCAGTCTGCATGCGCTTGCTGCCATTTTGTACGAGTGGATTTGTCAGGGAAACCTTGCTTCTGAGCATGCTGCCACTTTTCAAGGCAAGTGGCCTTGTGAGCGAGCACCAAGTCATGGTCACCTGGTAGAATTCGATTGAACAACGGAGCCAAGCCAGCTGTGCTGCTGGTGCAGCTGGTGCGTCTGGCATGACTGGACCGCTTCTGCTTCAGGTTAGACCACACCCTTCGATACATATCTTGAGCCTCATCTTGACCAAGAAGCGCAACATCTGCACGGACACCGACAAAGTAGTACCGTGGTCGGTTGACTGGCTCCCCCAAGTCAACAGGGTTCAAAGACTCCACAGCCACAATGTAGCCAGCCTTTTGCAGCAATGACAGCACCTCACTCATGCATCTCGATATTCCCTGGACATTCTCTAGCACAAAAGCGGGCGGCTGGAGCTGCTGAATGCGATTTAGCACAGCAAAGAATATGTTTGCTTCAGGCTCCTGAAGCAGCTTGGTGCCACCATGTAGCATTGAAAATGGCTTACAGGAAAAGCCAGAGATGTACAAGTCAATCGAAGGAACTTCATCATCAGTGCGCGTGACATCCTCCAGCAAGGCAACATCTGGAGGCGTGTTAGCAAGAATCATCTGCCTGGGAGCCCATGCAGATTCACAACTGAAAAGATGCTGGAAGGGAACCCCCATAGCTTGCAAAGAATGCACGGGGCTTTCAACTCCGCTGCAATCCGTTCCAACACGGAGGGGGAAGGCGCTGCCGGGGCGGCTAGAGCTACTGGTTGCAGAGTGCGGAATGCTTGGAAGCAGCCCCTCCCACGATGGCAAGAAACTTGGAGCTTCAAGTTTCAATACTTCGTCAAGATCCTTCCGCAAAAGATGGCCCCAACTATCTAGCCATGTGCGCAGGGTGGGAGGCAAATCGACTCGGTATGACATGGTGGCTTAGGCTTGGCTTGCTATGAAACTAGCTGCAAAAACCATGAGGCTTGCGTTCATTCAATAAAGCCTGCATGCTGGTTTGAAAGATATCAATGTGTGCACAATTGGCTACCTTTGGCAATCTGAGCAATGAAGAAACAACTTGCAACATAATGGTCCAGCAGCTCCTTACTGAGTCGGCGACATATTGTTTTTCCAGGGTCTGCAGGTCCATGTCCGAAAACTCCTCAACAACGAACAGGTCAGCTTCCGAGGCAGCCATAGGCGATAGCATGGTGCAGCCATGTGGGCACTTCAAGGATGGGGCATCTTTGTGCAGAAGCCGGAATAGAGGCACAATCCTTGTAGTCTTGCAAGTCTGCAAATGCATAGGTAAAGATTGAGAAGCTGGGGCAGCAAAACCTCCACTCTTTGGCTCAGTGGGAACGTATGGGTTCTGCCCAGCCTGCCTTCGTGCAGAAACAGTTTCATGTCCTTAGCTTGAGAAAGCTGTAAGAAGCTCCCAACCCAGAATCCAGAAACACATATCCTCTGGAGGCAAGATTCCCAAATTAGCAAACACTGCATTCAACTAATGCCTTAAGCTAAACAAATATGAGAACCTAGCCTGCTTTCGAGCCGTGTGCTCTTGAAACAGCTGTGCAGGATGCTTCTTCTGCTTTAAGGTGCTTGGAAGTGATGAAGTCGCTGAACTGCTCCAACGGGTGCCTTGCAAAGCTGCAGAGGAAGCATTTGAGGCATTTGCAGGCAACAAAGGTAATTCCAAGCCATCCACAAAAGACGCAACTGCAGCTTGGCCAGATGCAGCAGCTGAAGTTGACTGGGCAGCATGAGCAGCTTGGCACAATGTCTTTGATGCTACTTTCCGTTGGTGCTTCACAAATGCAAAAGTGCCTTTGCGTGGTATGCCTGTGCGCTTACCTGCCGTGATGTTTTTCTTGGCAGCCTTGGAATACTTATACTGGAAACGCCTCCCATGGGTGGAGAGCCACAGCTTGGCACATGCTTTACTGAACTCTGTGGGCAAAAGCTGAACCTGAGAGCTGTGGGCAGCACGTGCAGCTTCATACAACTCACTCTCTTTTTGGGGGCCGTCCAAAGCCACCCCAAGGACTGCTGCAAGAATGTGGCCGTCAGCAGAAATTGGCCCGGAGTGATTTCGAATTTGCTCGCACAACTGGCCCAAGTTCCTCTCAAGGGTGGTGGTGTTCACCTTCACAGCCAAATAAAAAGAAATCAGCGTCGCCAAATCTGCAGGGCGCCGAAGCCGGTGAAAACTTGGCATGTGATGGGCGCGCCATTCTTCGCACAATACCCAGCTCCAAGCCAGCCGATTGGAAATCTGGAGCCTGTTGGCATCAGCAGCTTGCACTACCTTCAGAAGACCTTTCGCAGATGTCACAAAGTCGGGTTGCACCCTTGCATCCAACTTGAGCGCTTTGCTCAAAGTTTGAACAAGAGGCTCAAGCATGCGCTGCTGCTTTCGATCACCCCAAGAATGCACATTGAAGATTTGCATGCACTGGGCAATGTCATCGCCTGCCAAATCCACTGTGACTCTACCGGTCATTGCAGAAACGACTTCGCTCATCTCAGCCATGATGTTGCGTATGTCCTGCACGCCTGCCTTTGTACAAAGATAATGAATTTTGTTCCCATAGTAGATCCTCACCAGATATGATGTGGTGCATACAAGAAAACTCAAGCAAACACAATCTTTGAGGATAATTAGGACCACACCTTAAGGATAAGCTTTCAATTTTCTAGCCAAGGCTCGGCTCAGGGAAGTCCACTTGCTCAAAAACCATTTGTGTCGCAGTCATTGAAGCTACATCAGCGGCACCTGGCGTTGCAGGGGCAGTTGGTGTTGCAGGGGCAGCTTGGGAAGCAGCAACTTTCGACGCATCTCCCAAAATGAATCCATCAATAAATAACGTCTTCATCCTGGCGCAAAAAGCAAGAACAGACTGCTTTGTCGTGGCCGGATCTGGGTCATCAATGTCGAAGCAGTCTCGCAAGAACGTCAAGCATTCCATGGTGTAGTCACACGTCAAACCACACCGGAAAACGCTAGCAGGAGTCATGTCCTCCAAAGCTGCCTGCGCCCTTGCTCGGACATCTCGAGCTCCTCGCTCCTGTGTGTACAGCTGTGCCCTAGGCAATAAAGAACACACACACACACACCTACCTGAAACTTCCAAGGAAATATAACTGAATCTGAATAATCATAACACAAATTGAACCACATTATGACAAGAATCGTCTGCTGCTTGCATTGCGCAGACCAAAGCGATTGCGCGGATCATGCAACAATATTTCAGCATGGGCGTGGCTGTGGAGTCAAATCGTTGCTTGGCAAAAGAGAAGGTATGGAGGATCTTGTTGATGTCTGCTCCCTGCGTTCTGCAAGATTTCAGCACTTCTGCCTGGGCTGCTATTAGTCGGGAGCGCCAAACCTCAGAATACTGAATGTCTGGCACCAGAGCATGTCTAGCTGAGAAAAGCCTGTCCCATTGACGTTGAAAAGGCTCTTGCGCATGCAAGGGGTCTTTGCTAGCAATACGAACCTGGTGCGCCATATCTGCGCTCAGCCATATTAGATTGGGCAGCTGGGGCAGCTGTGACAAGAGCTGGCCACACTTGGCTGCTGAAGCACCTTGATCTGAAGCATAGTGGCGAACCTTGCTGCACATTTGTTGATATGCATCCTCATCCACATATCCATCCATGTCCATGCAAACATCCTTCAACGCAGCAAGCACACTTTCAGCCATCTTCTCACTCTTGTCACGGTCATGCTCTGCAATGGTGTTTTCAGGCACATTCTGACCATTGCGGATCACCCCAACCAAGCCATTGGCAACTAAAGGCTCCATTGAAGCCCAGTCTTCAAGATTGCTGTCTTTTGACAAATGCAAAGCTGGGGCTGCTGAGGCGCCTGTGGCTTCCGTCCATTCCGCTAAGGAACGGAAACTACAACGGTAGCGTATGATGCGAAAATCGGCCCTGTCATCGACAGAAACTGAAATGCTTTCTGCGTGCAGCAAAATCTTCTTCCTCCTGCATTTCACCACCCAATGCATGATCTTAATCATCTGAGTCAAGCCTTGCATGGCGAGGCAATGAATACGAACTTAAACAATAATTTCCGATGCCTCCTAAAAAGAAATGCGTTCACATTTTCCAATATAAAATTTGCATCTGTATTGTGGAAACAAGATGTTCTTTCTGCTTACGCTGCAAGGACGTCCTGCAGCATAGTCCTCTGTCTCATAATGTTTCTGAGCCTTATTGAAACTAGCTGCTGTCTGGCATGAATTCCATGCTCGCAGCCAGTCCCTGGCTTGTGGCACATTCCCACGGTACAAGTCCTGCTCTTGAAGATTGTAGGGGGCTAGCTCGGAAACATTCCGGTCAGGGCAAAGGAAATGATTCTCGGCCATCCTGTGAACAGTGCTGGCCGAATGTTGCCTGATGCATGCAGCCTGCATACACTTCCTAGCAGAATGGGCAGCAAGGGCAGCAAGCACAGCAAAGAAATAGCTAGCCCTCAAAACAAAACTGTAATCCATTAAAAACATCATCAAGGTTGGGAATGAAATCAGCTCCTGGAGCGCACATCGAATGTCCCCCACTTCGTCGATGCACGGCTACCCATCCTCAATCTTGTTGAAGCTGCAGGATAAAAGTTTTGCATTGGGCATAGGGCACCGTACTTCCTAGGCATGAATACAAACTTTCTGGAATATTTGAAACCTGGGCACAAGCGCTTTCGTTCTTCAGGATATCTTGCCAAGGTGTGAACCAAATGTGCGCAGAAATTGCACCCAATGCCCCACATGCCACCTCTCCGAGCAGGCCTTTCAGACAACCACACCGTGCGCTGAGGCTTGCCCCAAGATGTGTGCTTCAAGCTTCCCAACTTTTTCCATTTCTCCTTGAATCGTAAAAACCTGCAGGGGGCCAATGCAAAGACACCGATGCACCGAGGCACATCCTCTCACTAGGAAGCAAATTTAAATTTCATAAGCCCGACTGAAAAGCTGTAGACAACTACTAACTCAACCCTTTTGGCAGGACAGTGGCGCACAGGTAAACAAAACAATACAAATCTCCGAATTGCCAAAGCAGATTGTATGAAACATGCAGATTGGCA